TTGCTCAGCGTAATCTTTGTCGCTTATTCAAATGCAAAACTCAGAGTAATATTGTATGGTTTTGTTCACCATGACCTTAAAAAGGTCAAACAAGATCACTGACCTCAAAGGGGCTTGCGAACTTTTGCTTAGAAACAGTTGCCTAGGTTCTGGGGGCACTCTAGAGACCAATCTGGAATTTGACCTTGTTTGACCTTATTTGACCTGAAGGTCAAAACCTAGGAATATTAAACTTTGAACTAAGTGAGTTCACGTACAGGTAAAGACACCCCGTAAATTTGGTGACGAGACATCAGGGGGGGAGTCAAATTGACCCCCACCCGAGCGAAGGATATCTAACCGGCCACCCGGGCGCGTGTTAAATGCTGAGACGACTTAGCATATGAAGGTGATACGCAGTTCGACTCCAAAGCGGTGTTTCTTGCAATCGACATATCCGTGTTGAGAAAAAATGCAGTCTACCCTCCTTGGTTCCAACAGAAAACATTCGCAGTGCGGTAGCATCGGAGCATACCGTGTGGCAACAGCACGATTATCTTTCAATCTAGGTCTCGTGAGAACGATCCGCGTATGTAAAGGCTTTTTAAATGTCCCTGGAAACATTCGTCGTATTCAACTTATCACCCCGCGGTGGAACGGGCGTCAAACACCCAAGGTGATTCGGCTTGAATGTTAAGCGGCCTGCGACTTGGTACTGTATAGTCCGACTCCGAACAATTCATCCGCATCCACAAGCTTGCCGTACCTGCGACCAGACCAGATGAAACGTGCACTCACCGCGTCACAGATCAGTAGGCACGTGCGTCAGCGCGCCGATCTCTGCATGAGCTGGTACTTATCCTTCAAATATACGCGATCATCTGCTAATTTGTGTGGCCGTCAGACCGCTTTTGAGTTGCCGTCGAAATGATCTGATCATGAGATGGACGTGCGCAGGGTTGGGCCAGATGCGGCCTCGGGTCAATCAAGGCAGCGCATCCGCATACTACCCGGAAAACGCCATCCACCTCTTTCCCAAATGGGGGGGGGGGGGGGGGGCGGCACGCCGCTGCTGTTAGAGCAATTTGGACAGTTCCGTCCAGGACTGAAAAATCAGCGATTAGAAGCAGAACACTTCATGGCATATCACTCTGGCCATTATAACACATTCGCCACATGCACTGATGACCGCAGCCAGTTGATCAAAAATTGCAACCGGCGTAGGGTCATGACTGAAGCCGGCCCACGTTCGTCGTTGTGAAATCCCTGGCTCGCACACGTTAGAGTCAAATATCTTTTTGACACGTTCGGTTTTAGCATGCTCTGGGCATTTCACACCAAAAACAATGAAACCGCCATCTGCAGCGCAAATCTTTTCCGATCATGTTTGGTCTGTCCTTTAAACATCCAGGTCTACCGTGCCGCGCTCCGCCCGGAGAAAGTCAACGCCAACGCGCCGGCCCCTGGGCTGGTCCGCCACCTCCATCCCCGCCTCGCGCAGGAGCCATGGTACCCGGGGCCAGTGACGCAACGCCGCCCGGCCCGCCGATAGCGCCAAGCCCGCCGCATACAGCTGCTGCGGCCTCGATTTCCGGTGCAGATGGCGCCAGCAGTCGGGCGACGCTTACCGTGGAAATCACCGTGGTTATTTCGCCCTGAGCTATTTGAAAAACATTCTTTAAACTTCCCTGAGAAATTAGACGAGCATTCGTTTGAATATTTGCGAGAAGACTGAAATAAGCATTATTTTGAGCAAAATAGCGCCATCTGTCGAGTTTCTATCGATCTCAAGCCCGCAAGCAACGAACCTGCTCGCCACCTACCGGCCGCGTACCACACTGGCCCTTGTCCGTTCGCGTTGGTGGAGCCAGGTTGGGCTCACGACGGTCGTAATGAATATTTGCGCATTGTGACAAGATAGTGCCTGTGGTTTTTGCAGCAGCATCGGAAAGCGTAAGCGACTCGCCGCATCAGATTTCTGGGTTGGTTTTGTCTCGAGACAACGACGGGAAAACCTTAAAATCATCCCGGAGGCTGTCAAGGTTTTTCCGCCAGGCGGCCGCCGTCGCGGATCGTGTAGCGCGGCCGGGCCGCCAGCGGGCGAGGCGGGCGTTCCGGCAGGCCAGCGACCGAGCGGGGGACGCGTCGAAACATCGTTGGGAACGCGGGCGTGCAGATCTCAACGGCCGGGTGGGGTATGGTTACCGAGCGATGTACGAGCTGCTGGCATTCGCTTGGAATCTGATAGGAAGCTCGAATCGCGCGGGTACGTACGGTACCTTCTGTGATGAAGGAGCTGTGTTATGGACTGGCATAAAGTAACGATCAAAGGCCGTGCGATCTTCAGCCTTACATTGCTGATCTCCGGCTTGTTGAAAGCAGGGAGTGGATGTTGGTGAATGCTAGACTGCCAGCTATTGATACCTGTTGGTGTTTCTGTAAGAAACAGACCCCTGTTTTGTTTTAAGACTTGTTTGGGGAGTGCAAGAGGGTTTTATCTGAATTTAATCTGAATAAGCTGTGCTAGAGTGTGACTGGAAAGAAGTGCACATTTATGTTTGTAGTTGATTGCAGTGTGCTGATGTCAAATGCTTTTTGGGTATGTTTGTTTTAATAGTATTCTGCAGATATATTTCTGTTTTGTATTTGCCCTCTTTCAGCACCTGTTTACATGTGCATAGTAGTCCCTGTTCACAAGTAAAATGTATATATGAGTGAGGTGTGCAATGATTTTTTAGTATAAACATAAATATTTTGAGCGGTGATAATGCTTGTTGCAGATTTTAGGATATATTGCCAAGCTATCATCACATAAATGCTGATACAATATGCTTTGCATGTGCTTTTTATTTTATTTCAGAACACATGAAGATTCTGACTAGGTTCACAGGCAAGTTTTAACCTGTAATGTTTTTTACTCAATAGTGTATGTTCACTCATGCCAGTTGGTAGACAAATCAAATGGACTAATGGTTACTGAGCATTTAATTTGACTGTCTTTAACCCACATTTTCAGCCTTCTATCCAAAACTGTTAAAATATACATTGTGCCTAAAACAATACCTCAATACTTTTTAAATCAAGTAGACATTTTTCCCCATGGCTGCTGCTTTGACTTTTAATTAACTACATGGGAAGGCTCAACCTGGTTTTTTATGCAGTGTCTGGTATGTTGCACATTCAGCTAGAGTTACATTATCCCAGGATGATGACAACTATGGCTTTTAAAATATCAGAACCTTTCAGCGACTCATTTCAAATGAATCTGTATGCCAGTTACGGGCATCTTTTCTGGTCAGTTCAAAGCTAGACACTGAAATGGAAGAAGGTTTGTGTGCAGATTGGAATTCACAACACATTGAATTGCCATCTTTGTGATGATGTTTTGACAGCCATTTGTATGATAGTTAACCAAGGCAAGACCTGCAAGCAGCATTCCATCCCACATTTGCATACAGTATACACACACAGCAAGCATTTTGTCATTTGTGCACCCGTGTCATCCCCACTGGATGAATTATCATGTCACTGAATGCTCTTCACTCCCCTCAGGATGTCATCCTCCACAAGTGGGGGAAAGTATACCCGTGACCTTAAGCTACGGGTGCTTGAACACTATTTCCGCAATGGTGGTGATGTGTTTGGCAACAAGCAGTCCACGGCCAAGAAGTTCGGCGTGGACTCCAAGACCATCAACCGCTTCCTGAAGATCCATGAACTCGTGAGGGTGGCGCGGAAGAATGCCAAGGCCGGCAAATCTTCCGGCGGTTCCAGCAGTGCCTTCAAAGTCAGTGCCTATGTCAGAGATGTTAGTGGTTGGGTTAGGTTGGGTACATCAAAACTATGCCTTGTTTTGTGTTGGCCTTACGGGTTCAGATAGTTCTAATAGATTTTTGAGTGTCAGCAAATGTTTTGATGTATGTCGCCCATAGATGGTTTGTTGACGCCTTCTTGCGATGGGTCTAAGTGAACATATACCAATTCATGAAGGGTTATGAATAACTTGAGGAGTGAAGATGAACTGGGGTGACTTTTTGTAGTCAGAGACAACTGGGACATCTCAAGCAAGCCCGACGTAATTCTCGCCCGTCTGGCGACGGCTTGAGCATCGCACATCGCCTGACCTCGATCCGCAGCCCGTCACCGATCGACGCACGTGAGGTGCCTGGCGCCGGAACGGCCCCAGCAGGGGCACCTTTGTGTGGGATGGTGCCCTCCCTCTGATGTGTGTTTGTGCCGCGCAGGAGCCGCTACTGCCGAGCAGTTCCAGCCGGCCGCGGCCCGCCGTCAGACAGACAGTGCGGATCACCATGCCGGCCGAGCCGGATGAGGCCGTCATCAACCAGACGGCCGACGGCAACCTCTCCAGCGTCGGCAAGCTGCTCAAGGTCTTCGAGCTCGGCACGCAGGAGGTCAGCGGCGACGTGTGGTCCAGATGCAGAGTGCTAATCTAGTTCCCGACGGAGACCGCCAAGGACGACATTACAGCGCGTCACGCAGGGGATATCCCGCCAATGGATAAGCTCGAACGTTGCACCTGCCCAGACCGAGCAGGGAGTATGTAATGCCTCTGAACATCGACCACAGAAGGTTACTTGAGTTTGATTAAATCCTCTGTAGCGAAACACGAACCAAATATTGGCGTTTCAACGTGCGGCGCGTGGGGTTCTCAACCCGCTCGCTCCGCACTCCCTCCCCCTGACGTCATCCCCCTCCGTCAGATCCGCGAGATGCTGCTGGCCGAGTGTGACCTGATCTACGAGTGCCGCGTGTGCCGCGGCCTCTTCCGCAGCCTGGCCAACTTGCTAAGCCACAAGCGGCGCTTCTGCACGCGCCGGCACGCCGAAACGCGCCAGGTGTTCGGCGACGGGCCGGACCAGTCGCTGGCGGCGGCGTCAGAGGGCGTGCTGGTGCTGCCGCTGCCGGCCGCTATCGACCGGCTGCCGGAGGTGCGCCAGGCGGCGGCGTGCGAGGCGCGCGCCGCCGCCGCGCTGCCGGTGCCGACCGTGCGGCTGGAGCCGCTGCCCGGCAGCCGGGCGGCCATGTTCCAGACGGTGGGTGAGCATCCGAGCGTCGGCTCCGCCGTGGAGGAGGTGCGCCGGCTGGAGGAGACCGCCGGCCGCACGGTGCGGCTCGGTCGCGACGGCCGCGTGCTCGAGTCGGACGACGAGGAGACTGACGGCGTTGAGCCGGCGGACGACGGCGACGAGGGGCGGCACGTCTGCCCGCACTGTGAGTGGGCGCGGTGGAGCGCGGCCGAGGTGAACGCAGCGCCCGAGAGGGAAAGCGGTTGTGTTGATGTCCGGTGTCATTCGAAAAATAATTTCGTTCGCGTACGCGTTGTCGGTTCCCCACACTGCCTGACGGTCTCACATCAATCTCAGTCAATGCACAACGGGCAGGATCGCCGCGAGAGGAGTGTCTGCTTTTGTGATGCTAACCGAGTCGGGTTTAATGATCGGGTGGTGGAGACTGCTTTGTTAACCCCACAACACAACCCAGGTACTGTAAAAGCGCCGGTCTGCCCTCTCCAGGCAACACGTCATTCTCCACCCGTAAGACGCTGTCGCACCACGTGCGTTCTCTGCACTCTTCGACGCGCATCTACTACCCGTGCTGCTGCTGCTCGGCCGCCTTCATCAACATGTTTAGCGTGGAGCGTCACCTGCAGAAAGGTGGGCCATTTGGGCGACAGGCGATGAGCAAGGCGCGTGGCAACACGTGGTCTTGCGCGGGGAGGCTGACTCTTCTGGCGGGCAACTTCGTCCGTCACAGTTTGCGCGGTGTTGTTGTGTTGGAATGTACCCCGGATCCCGTGGGAACGTTTGATGATCGGGTCTCGATTTCGGATCCCGGGGTCGGACATTCACACACATCTGGGTCATAAATAATTGAATGTCAGCCTCCTGTGCATCCAATGTTTGAACATGTCACTGCGGCCGTAGAAGCCCTAGTGCCGGCCTAGTGCGCCAAAGCTGGGTATAGTCGAATGTGGTACGAGGTCGTGCAGCTGCCCCAAATTTGGTTACATGTGTGCATGTCGCACCCCGCGACGTCTGGCATCCCTTTCGATTTGAGATCTCTTCATCACATGCGCAGGAGCCTGCGCATTGCCCGTGAGCTTATCTGCGTCTGCGTGGCTCCGTCCAGCCGTGAGTAGATGGCGCACGGACATCTTGAAGACATATGTCACTTTCGTGACTTAGAGGAACTAAGCCTACCAAAAATGCTTTGATGTCGCTTTTCTGGGAACAAGCTGAGTTTGGTTTTATACAGGATGTCAAAGCAACACCATGCGACGACAAAGCAACAACAAATCGACAAGCAAACGCGACAGCATATCGACAACCTTAACACCCGTAACATTGCCACTTGTGGTTAAACTTGGACTGTAACTCTGTGGTTAAGGCACTGCATGGCGGAAGCGTCACCAGGTAGCGCACGCCTCGCATTTGGCTCGTATTAAAGCCAAAACTTCTCAGGATTGTTGTAGAGTAACGAAAAAAGTCTTGGAAACAAGGAAAGTATCATTCTTATCGTGAGGATACTCTTTACATATTCGTTTATTGTTTGGAAGACCTCATCCTAAAGTTGAAATCCACCGTGGAACAAAATGGGGCACAGTTTTAGTATCAAATTGACGATTATATTTTAGATTTTAGTCGTGTGGTCGGGCTTCGCCTGGGTGGGGGAGGAAACATGCGCATGCAAACTAACATCTGCCTTTGATGTGCGCAGTCTGCTTAATAAGCACCAATAGAAGCGTTTGTTGGTGACGTCACAGCATGCGAGCATCCCAGGACGTCAACATCTGTGCCAAGGGCATTTACGTTATGCGGCTCGTCGGAGGTCGGATGCTGTTCAACTTTAACATCTCATCGAATTTCAGGAGGCTCCATCATTCAGTCCCGTTGTGCAAGTTTGTTGTCCAGGGGAATTCGCGTTTTATACGACCGTCGTAGCGTCACTTGCGTGCATCGCTTGATATTATGACGTGTTGGCCACTTTAGAGTCAGCCATTCTTCGTGCTCGACTCGACAGCCGTGGCACTCGACTGCCACAGAACGGGCCGATTCGGCTAACCAGGCATATCTCGATTTATTAATGCGATTTGGACAGGCGAGTTCCGAATAGAAGCTGGTGGCCTCAACTTATGTCTTTAACAGATAGCCACACAAACCTTTTGTGAGCGTCAATAACGCACTCGAGAGGGCAAAAATGTGGCGGTGGGGTGGAAGTCGGGTATTTTGGTTGGACATGAGGACAACACTTTTCGTTATCTGGCAGCGCTCCTATGGCTTCACGCCTCATCTACCGCTGTATTAGTTACCACTGAACCACAACATAAACCACGCAATAACCACTGCCACTGTTAATAATCAACAACTCGTTCGAGGTCACCCATATTTCAACGTAAAGCTCCCCAACGTCTTTGGCTCGATCTGCCGGCGTCATCTGCCTTACCTGCCTCTCCGTAATGTGTGCGTTTTATCATCAAGTGCGTGTTTGACGGTGCGCTAACCGCTGTCACATGAGCAAACGCCTATTTCAACGCCGAAATCAATAAAATTAGCGCATCATGACGTCGCGTTCAGTGCTTATCCCATCGTCTATCTACGGCGATCCAAAGTCTTCAGAAGACACGGGAAATCCTTATTTATGGTAGATCTGATGTGAAGAATCGGTGCATTCAAACTTTGGCCTTCAAAAGTAGGAAGTCATGCGCCAATACACGCCTCTGAAAGGACAGCAATTTATCGCTGCGTGCCTCCCACAACCCAATCGTGGGCCTTCTCTTGACCACCAGAAGGTGCCAAATTGTTTCACGGATATGCCAAATTGGGATATTTCAGAAGTTTATAAGTTGCATGGTTTTCCAGCTGGAACCGTGCGATGAGGTGGAAGAAATATGGAGCCGTGGGTGGGGTGGGGTGGGGGATCGGGACAAATGTTCCCCCAACATGAAACTCAGTGTGCGGTGTTTCTCGTTCCCCCTCAGCTTCCAATTCCAATTGTATGAACTCCAAAACTGACCCTGCCCGACTTACATCGTGAAGATTAACTGCACCGGTCTAGTTTGTGATGCATCGTTTAAAAAGTCAGTTCATAACTTCGATTATTATCCCATGACACAAATGAGACATTCCAAATTTCACATGCAAGAAACACGAGGCGATCTTGTATGAAATGCTCCAAACTAGATCGCAGTCCATATGCCCACTTTTCAGCCGCTTTCTTCGTCATGTTTTTGTACCCTGCTTATACCACCGTCCTTTTACGGAAAATGTCCCTTATTGGCGTCGCAGGGTTATTTGACGGTTGTTGGGAATGTCAAACTTTAATAGTAATGTCGAAGTCCATACCGCAGTCAGAGTCGCATTCGTGACATCGGGCCATCTCAAGCATATGCGACAGCCACTGAAGGACCGGTTTGCGATTCCAGTGCACAAGAAGAAGCAGGAGGAAATAGACGTGCTGAAGGAAGGCATCAAGCAGAAGTCGTTCCACCGGAGCGTGACGGAGGCGCAGGCGTCCGCGCCGCCCGCCAACCCCAACATGCCGATGAAGGTGGTAAGTGTCAGGCCAATCAATGGGCGGCTAGGCTGTACTGAGGGGGGGGGGGGGGGGGCAAGGGAGTAGTCAAGGGGTGGATGAAATCGCTTCCTCATGCAGGCACGCCTTGCCCTACTTCACTTTTGCAGCCTGGGGCGTGGCTATATTTTCGTAAATTTTTCAAGCATGCGGAAAAGTTACAGGCGCGCACGACGAAATACTTTTCGGAAACAGTCGGAGCCGAACTCGCGGGAAACGTTGGCGAGGCGCGGTTTGCTTGGCCGCGAGGAACGCGCGTGGCGTCTCCGCTCCCGGAGCCCGGAGGCACCCTTCTGCTCGAGGCCTCGACACCGCGCGCCCGCGCCGCGGCGGCTGGACGCCGGCCGGGCGCGGTCGGCGGCGGCAGCGCGCACCGGGGCGGTGGCAGCGGCGGCGCGTAAGTCGGCTCTGCGCGCGGCGAGGTCTCGGCACAGAGCGGTGCAGCCAGCGTGGCTCCGGGCCGGGCGGCGGCGACGGCGCGCGCGCACGCGCGCTCAGATCGGGGGAGGCCGCGGCCGGCACGCTGACTGCACCGCTCTGTCTTTCAGACCTCGTTCGAGTGGAAGTGCCGCCAGTGTAACCGCCGCTACCTCTCGCTGCCGGTCGGCCTGCAACACGTGCAGTCGGTGCACCCGCAGTTCGCGACGGCGCGCGCCGGCCTCGTGCGCGTCTGCCGCATCATCCGACAGCCGACCGACGTCGGCGCCGTGTCGACGCGCTCGTCGAGTGGCGCCGTTACGCCTGCCGACGCCGACCGCGCCGCCGCCGCCGATGACGACGGCGATGACGACGGCGGCGCGGAAACCGAACCGGAGCCGGCGGGCGGCCGCATGCTGTTCAACAAGGCCAACCTGCTGAAGCGGCTGTCGGGCGGCGGTGAGCGGTGCGTGTTGTGCCGCAAGGTGTTCACGGGCCACCTGCAGGCGTGCGGCCACTTGCGGCTGCACGACCAGTCACAGATCGAGGCTTACCTCGGCCAGAAGGTGCGTCTCATCCGCAAGCGGCGGCCGGCCGACGCGTCGACCGAGGCGCCCGAGGAGGAGTACGAGCTGGGTGAGCCGGCCGCCACCTCGCCGCCCGACTCGGACGGGGACGAGGCCGACGCCGACGCCGAGGCAGACGCCGACGCCGACGCCGACGCCGACGCCGACGCCGACGCCGACGCCAACTCCAACGCGGCGGCGCCGTCCACCAGCGTAGAGGCGCGTGGCTTCTCAGTGCGCATGGTGCCGGCCGAACGCGTGCGGCGCCGCGACTTTGTGCATGTCTCTGCCGCCGGCGAGTGCGTGTGCACGCTGTGCGAGGCGCGATTCGCGCGTTGGCCGGCGGCGCGCGCGCATATGGCGCGCCACAGCCGCGCCGAGGTGGAGCGCTATGTGGCGCGCCACGCGGCGAACGGGCTGGTGGGTGTGCCGGCCGCGCTGTCCGGCCGCGGCTCGCCAGAGGAGGAAGACGACGATGCCACCAGCGTCGACACGGACATCGAAGCGGGCGCCAAACTGCTCGTGTCGTGCAAGCTTTGGAGCCCGAGCAAACGGAAGCGCGGCGGGGCGTCGGACGGGGAGGAGCGCCGGAGTGGCGACGAGGACGAGGATGGCGGCGAGGAAGATCAGGAGGAGGAGGAGGATGAGGATGAGGACGGGGTGGAGGCCGGGCCGCTGTCGTGCGAGCTGGTGGGCGAAGTGGTGGACAAGTGGCAGGCGATCCGACGCAAGGGCGAGCGGCTGCGCTGCGTCGTTTGCAACAAGACCTTCACCAAGGAGAGCTACGCTGAAACACATATGCGCACGGCACACTCGTTCGCCGAGGTGCGCGACTTCCTCAACAGATGGCACTCCAAGGGCGTGCGCGCACCCCCGCGCTCGGGTGACCCGGACGGCAGGGAGGACGAGGACGATGACGCCGCCTCGGCGGCCATGGACAGACGGGAGACGGCGGCGGCCGAGCCGGTCTCGGCTGCGTCGGAAGTGAAGGAGGAAGACCTGCCCCCGCCGCCGCCACAGCCGAAGGGCGTAAAGCGCGCCACGGAGACTGGCGGCACGGCGTCCGCGCCGCCGGCGAAGGCACCCAAGCGGGATGTGACAGTGCTGAACGTGCCGCGCGTGAAGGCGCCGTCAGAGCGAGGTCCAGTGGTGGGCCCGATAGGCCCGAACACCAAGATCCTTAAGATCTCCCGCTCAGATCTGCTACAGCGCCGCGACGGCGCGCCATGCCTCTGCCTCGTGTGCGACCAGGAGTTCGACACGCACGCGGCCGCCTGTGTGCACATGCGGCAGCACTCAGACATGGACATCCGCAACTTCATCCGTGCGCGCGGCCGCGAGTTTCTGCCGGCGCTAGAGCAGAAGTCCAAGAGCTACGTGCCGAACCTGGTGCGCGCCAACAGCGTCGCTGCTGTCGGCTCCACTGCCGCGGGTGCCCCCGCCGCATCTCCTGTGAAACCCGCGACGGGCTCCGACGCGGACAAAGCCTCCTCCACGGCTGCCAAGTCTGCTGTGCCGACGGCACCGTCGAGCGAGGCGGCGCGCGCCGGCCGTCGGACCGCTGCCCCAGCTTCCGGCGCGGCCGCCAGCGAGGAGTCGGACAGCGACGACGGCGACGGCGAGGGCCTGCCGCAGGGCTTCCGTCGGGACGAGGCCGTACGCGAGTTCGAGGTGTTTGACAAGGTGCAGCTGCTCAAGCGGCAGGAGGACGGCACCAAGTGCCTGCTGTGCACGCGCGTGTTCAGCAAGCACTCGTCCGCCTGTGGCCACCTCTCGCACCACGGCGTGGCCGAGGTGCAGGCCTGGCGCAACCGCATGCGCAGCAAGGCGGCCGCGCTGCTCAAACTGGCTAAGCGGCCGGCGGCGGCGGCCGCCGCCGCGAAGACGGCCAAGGCCGCAGGCGCCTCGGAACCGGCGCGCGCGGCCAGGGCGGACGCGGACGACGTGGCGCCGCCGGGGAAGCGACCGGACGGCGGCGGAGTAGGGGCATCTCAGGCCAAGGTCGCCGGAGCGGAGCGGAGCTCGCCGGCGAACGTCGCCGGGAGCGAGACCAATTCCGAGGAACCGAAGATGCCACCCGACCTGCCAATGTCGCCGCGGGCAGTTAAGGCCGGCGTCGGGGAGGACGGTGAGCCGGCGAAGGCTTTGAGAAGCCCAACGGTCGGGCGGCCGGCCAAGACCGCCGAGTTTACGTCGCCGAAGCCAGAGGAGAGCGCATTTACCGAGGCCCCGGCCCCAGCGTCGTCGTCTGCCGCCAAACCGACGCCGCCGGCGGCCGCCCAGCCGGCCAAAACCGTGCTGGTGGCGCCGAAGCCGGTGGCCGGCGTCTCCTCGCCGCCCACGCGGGTGACGCAGGTGCTGAAGTTGACCCCGGCGATGAAGCTGGCGCTGCTGCAGTCGCCGGACGGCTGCATCACGTCGGGCCGCACTATCATGCGCCTGGCGCCAGGTGTGCGGCTGCCGCTGGCTGCTGGCGCGCTGCCCCGCGTGCTGCGGCCCATCGCGCCGAAAGCGGCGGCCCAGGCTGAGCCGTCACAGCCGTCGCCGGCACCGGCGTCGGCGGCGCAATCGGTGGTGGTGCTGCAGCCGCCGCTGGCCGGTGCCGGAGGGTCACCGCGCCCTCGTCCGCCGCCGCTGATGCGCGCGCCTGTCCTTCAGTCGATGGCGGGCGCCGGCGGCCGCGTTACAATCCAAATCCCGGCGCTGAAAACGCCGCCGGCGGGCAGCGCCGGCGCCGGCGCCGGCGCCACCGTGGCCAGGGTAGGGTCGGCGGCGGCCCGACCTGCCGACAATCAGGCTGTGAACTGCCAATCGGCTGGGCCGCCAACGCCGGCCGGGGCAGCGCTGGCGGCGAACGTCGGGGGTGCCGAAACGAAGCAGGCGCCTGGACGGTTGGCAGCGGCGTTGGCCGGTCGCGAAAACGCGCCGCAGAGGGACAAGGACGGCGGCAAGGGCGAGGCGGGCGGACGGAAGGAAGTGAGGGAGCCCAGGAAACTGTCACCCGAGGCGACGAAACGACTCGGCGAGGCGAGGGGCAGCCCGGCAAGGACGGTGGGTGGCTCGGAAAAGCGCCAGGACTCTCCCGCCAGTGCCAAGAACAACCAGAAGAGGGCACCACTGCTGACGGAGCGACCAGCCGAGCGCGCCGATTCCAAAGCCGACGCCAAGAAGGCGAGCGAGCCGGCAGCCGCGGCCGCCAGCCGGCTGGTCGCCACCAAGCGAGCTTTCATCCCGGAGGTGGCGCGGCCGCTGACGCGCTGCTGGACGCCCGACCCGAACAGCCGGGCGGCGGCGCGCGGCGCGCCCGAGCCGCCGCTGGCCGCCGGCGACGTGCCGCAGACGCGCGCCCGCGCCGAGGCGGCGATGGCGGCGCGCGTGCGCCAGACGCGGCGCAGCAGCGGCGCCGGCGCCGAGCGCAAGTGATGGCGGTCGTCGGCGGCGGCGTGGCATGACGTCAGCCGCCGTCGGGCGTCCTAACCGGGGCTCCTTCGGCGGCGGCGGCGGCGGCCAGCCGGGCGGGGCCGCAGCCGCCGTGGGATGGCGGGGTCGTGGCCCCTGAAGCTTTGCGGAAGATGGCCGCGCCTTGCCTCGCCCCAGCGCTTAGGACAATTAGCCGAGCATTGCGTTTGCATGGGTGGATGTGTGCGTTCCTACATATTCGCGAGTTCGTGTGGATGGGTGCGTTCGTACGTGTGCGCGTTCACATGACATCAGTTTGTTGTTCTGACCTGCTTTGAGTTTTATCGGGTTGCGTTCACGTCTCGAGTGACGTTATAAAATTTGATGCACAAATACCGATGGTGTAATGCCAAGTTCGGTACATTCATGAATACATTATCGCACGTGCACGCGTTATTTATGCATTAATCTCGCTTGAATACACTTTGACAAGCGGGTGAAGTTTGTACGGACGGTTTGAATGCATCAATCGCTGTATTGCATAGTACTCGTAGTAGTTATAAACTATTGTTTTATTTTGAAAAGTGTTGTTTCGTTGTGGCGGCGCCGACATGGTCATCTGTCCTTTCTTGGAATATGCATGAAGCTTATTTGGTTAGTTTTGTTAAAGTGATATTTCCAAGCTGTGTAGTACGATCAGGGTTGTTGAGTCTTCTGGAAGACTGTTCCTGGTGATACGTGACATAGATGATCCAACAGGCTTAAACACTTCTCAAAAATACTGCCAGATACCATCCTCAATTAGTGAGAAGGGGGCCGCCTAGCGAAATGGATGGGCATGTGCATAAGGACATTGGCTGGCTTTGGTGAGCCCAGGGTGGGCCGCTTGACTTACATGGGCCTCATCAACAATACCGGAAACGCGTCCCGGAAGCCGGCCAGCAGCCCGCTGTGGGCTGTGGCGGACAGACGCTGATAATGCGCCTAACGCTGCCGAAGCAGGACCCCCCCCCCCCCTTTCGCCCGACGCATTGCACTATCCGCGCCTGTCGGCAACAGCGGCTTGTCTCGCTCTGCGCCAGTAAGCTGATAACCGCCGTCTGGGCTTCCTTAAGGCGGGAAAACGGGCAGTTCAGGCATCTGGCGCGCGCTCGTCCGCTGAATCAGCACGCGCTGTTTTGAGGTTGGAGATGAGCCGAGCTCGGCACAGCCGGTGTTGGGCGGGTCACGATTTACATACAAAGCGAATTAGACGATTTGGTGCGGACTCCGGGCCGGACGTTGCTTTGGATCACTTCGGAGGCTTGTGCGCGACGTATGACAAACGCGCCTCTAGCGGGTAAACTTTCGCGAAAATGAGAGGAACTCGTACAGTCGAATTATGTCCAAATCGGGAAGGGCGTGACGGTGGCACACAAGGCCGCTAATGTCCTCTGTTCTCAGTTCCAACTGTCACAAAAGTCCTCGCACGTTCACCCCTGACACATTTTGTCTCGTTCGATGTCGCCGCCGGACACACAGGCTGTGTTCCACGTCAGTGGCATCTGTCCGCAGGGGCCAGTGGCTGCCGGGCTGCGCTGCGCCGAGTGCGGCGGCTGCTACCCGTCCACCCAGCTGCTGGCCAGACACCAGCTGACTGCGCACGCGCGGCCGGCCGAGCCGGTGGCGTCGGCCATCCAGGTGCGGCACGGCTACCTGCCGCACGGGCGCGGAGAGCCGCCGGCCACGAGCAGGCCGCGCGCGCAGGCGCGGACTCAGCTGGCGCCGCCAGAGCAGACAGCGTCCAGGCGGCCGACCGGGCCTCCGGGCGACGCCGCGATGGAGGCCAACGTGGCGGCACTGCTGGATGTGAAGCGGCTGCGCTGCCGGCAGTGCGGCAAGGTGTGCTTGTCGCTCTCGAACCTGCGTCGCCACATCGCTGGCCACATCGGCTGGCTTCGCTACGCCTGCCCGCGCTGCGAGTTCCGCGCCTACTCGCGCTACAGCGCCGTCAACCACATGCGGCGGATCCACCACATAGCGCGACAGAAGGCGAGCGCCATGCTGGAGCGGCAGGCCGCCGCCGAGGCGCCGGCAGCCGAGCAGACGGAGGTGGCAGAGCTGCCGGACGCGGCGGAGCCGGCGGTGCGCAGCGTGCCAGCCCCTCGCACGTACGAGATGAGGGACCTGGCTGCCTCCCGGTCGCGCCCCTCCGTCCCGCTGGCTCTCCCTGCCGCTCTCAGGGCAGTGGCGTTCATCCCCCAGGCGGGACCCTCCCGCATCCCCCCTGCGATCACCACGTTCCGTCAGGACCTCGTCCGCCCACCGCCGCCACCTGCTGGGCCACGCTCGGAGTGCCGCGCCGGCAGAAAGTCGCTGGCCAGCATCATCCACTACATCCGCGGTGCTGACGCGGCGCCCGGCGGCGGCAGCAGAGGCACCACGACCCAGTCGGTAACAGCCGTCGCCACCAGCGCCCGGCAGACACATGGCCCCGCAGGCGGCGTGTCGGGGCAGAGCGACACCGCGGCCGGAGCGTCAGAACGGTCCGGCGCCGCAGCGGAGCCGGAGCCGCAGCCGGGCGGTAACGCTGACGATCTGGAGGAGTTCATGACGCTCTGCAGCGGTGGCGAGCTGGCGCCGGGCGCGGTGTGGCGCGCGCTGCCCGCGGCGGCGGCGCCGACTGCCGACGGCGACGCCCCCAGCGGCTCGACGGGCCGGAGGTCAGCGAGCGGCGACTCGCCGGGAGCGGGGACGGCTGACTCGAGGCTCGCCGCCGCCGCGGCGGAGCGCCGGCCGGCAGTGGACGCCGAGCGGCCAGCGCGGTCCGACGCTACTCCGTCGCTGTTCGATCCCCGCGGGTTGGAGCCGGCGAAACCGGGGCGGGCCAGCAGCGGGGAACGGTGCGGCTTTGAGCGCTTCCTGGACGCCGAGCAGCACGACTGTAACGAGAACATCGCGCGGGAGGGCATGTACAAGGAGGCTGACGCTGAGCCGGGCGGGAAGAACCCGCTTAATTCGACCGGCATTGTCAAGCGCGCCGCTCGCGCCGACAACGGACGCACCGCCTCCGCCGACGCGGTCAGCTTCTTCCCGCGCGTGCTGCTCATGAACATCGGTCCTCAGATGGCCCTCTCCGACTCATCCCATCTCTGCCCGGCGGCCGGCGCGCCGGATGGGAGCGGCGTGGAGGCGGCGGCGAGCGACGGCGCGGCGGCCGTATCGCTGGAGCCGGCGGATCTGGCCCGCCGGCAACGCAGCCCGAGCGGCGCCGCCGCCGTCGCCTCCGGCTCGGTGTCGCCGAACACAGCCGACGAGGAGCAGGGCGGGGACGAGCGGCCGTCAGAGCTGCCGACGCTGACGACCTGGCCAGAGGCAACGCCGGGAGGCGTGCACGCTGAGGGCACGGCCGGGAAGGGGTCCCGCCGTCTGCTGAAGAAGATGAAGTCAGAAAGTGACCTGACTCTGGGTGACGAGTGGAGTTCGGTTGTATCATCTGGGCGACCCGAAAGTGGAGACAGCAGGGAGAACGGAACGTTGTTGGTCCGTCCTTGTCCCCCCAGCCGACCGGACCGAGGCGGGGCGCCGCCGTCGGCGTCGGAGAGAACCGGCGCCTCGAAGACGGCAGCCCGTGCCGTCTCGTTGCGAGCCGGCGCGGTCAGACGGGTCAGGCGACCCTCCGGTCTGGTGGAGGCGGCCGGCGCACCAGTCAAGCGCGCGGCGGCGCCCGGGAGCTCGCCGCCTCGGGGGGCTGCGGCGGCCGAGGGTCGGCGGCGCGCCTTCACCACGCTCGCCAGGAAGGCGGGCGTGCGCTCCGGCGTGGCGCCGGCGGCGCGGAGGCGGCGGCTGGCTTCGAGCGCGGTCGGTACGGCGTGGCCGACGCTGGTCGAGGCCGGTGAGCTCGCCTGGCCGCAGGTGGTGCGCAAGCGGAGCTGGTCCACCCCGTCGGATCCGCTGTCGTCGCCGGCCGCGGGCGCGGCCGCGGCCAGGGTTGGGAGCGGGAGCGGGGCCATCGCCAAAAGGCGCCGACAGCAGTCGGAGCGACTCGTCGGCCCTCAGACGCCGGACCTGACGCCGATGGCCACGCGGCAGGGCGGCTTCAGGACGTACTCGTGGGTCAGGCCGGGCCCCGGCGCGCCGTCCTGGGAGTGAGAGCGACGCACGGAAGCTGACGGTGAGGGTGGGCCCGAGGCAAGTGTGCGCTGTGATGAGATATTGTTGTTCGTTGGCGGGTTGCGAGGTTGTCGAGCAAGACGTAGAATGGGGCATGCGGGCGGCTCTGCGAGCTGCTGGCATGCTGGCCCAGCACTAGCTTTCTCGGTACCGCTGAGTTGGACCGATTTGCGATTTAAGCCGTCTGGATTAAGTGAGTGAATAGTAACAGCTGCATGACATGTGGCGGTTTCACGCAACTTCAAGGGCGCCGGCGCCGGCGCAGGTTCAGCTCGCTGCTGGTGTGCAGCCCCTGTCCGAGCAGCTGCCGTCGCGAGTCACGAGCGTCAGCCGGCCGGGATACGAGAGCACGACACCGCGTCCAGTAGCGACGAGGGATAGCGTGGTTGTGAAGGGGGTCGTCACGCACGAAGCTGTGTTGTTAATGCCGGTTGGTGAAAGCGTTGTTCGTGTTCGATAGTAAGTGGTGGCGCTGGGCTGGTGGGCGACCTGCGACAGCGTCGGCACTCGCTTAGTGTTCCTCGTCGGCGCCGGCGTCTCCCTTCATTCCACGGGTCGTTCTCGTTACCATCCTCAAAATTCGGAACGCCCCTGATCTGGTTCACTTCTTGATTTGCCTTTCGCGAAAATTTAACTTTTGTCAAACAGTGGCATGATGAGAGGCACCCACTGTAATTGTCGTCCTGAACAAACACGTGCCGTTGGGAGCCTGGGATTTAGGACACTTGTACAAGCTCGCCTGGGTGTCGCACATGCGGCTAGGTGCCTGTGTTTGGATACGGTGCCTCCGTGGCGGCCTGATGTTTCCGAACGCCGCGCTACGTTTGTCGTGAGCTACCGAAGCGCGCCGGCGACTCGAGCAAACTTATGTTCATGCATCCTGCGCGTCGCACACGGGTGCGGTTTTAACCCTCATACGTTGAAGTATGCTACGCTAGCCGTTCTCAGGTTTTGATCGCTTAGTGATGTTCCCAGTACCTCCTAGCGTGACGTCCAGCTGTAGCCGTAGCCGTGAGTGGACATGTGATAGAAGCCCGTTCTGCAAATACATACCTATCTTTGGTAACGGAGCGTCTGCAGATGACATCGTCCTCGGACCCGGCTTTATTGGAAGGCCTGACCGCGGCCCTCACACCATCACTGTACCCGTGTCGGGAACGGGCCCGTGCAGCCCGACCCCTGTGGTCGACTGAGCCGCACGCGCGCGCTCACGCCGGCCTCGACACAACATAGCTCGCCAGAAGCATTCGTAACCGCCGGGCTAGGACCGGCCGGGCCTTCGCTGCCCCGTCGGCCGCGCGGCGCGGACATTTGTACCGGCGACGCGAGCGACGCCCGGCGAACACTTTGAGAACTAAGGTCGAGAGCGTTATTTGGCCATCTTGCGCTCGAGGTCCTCGGCGATCGCCTGCAGGAAGTCCATAGTGTTCAGGTACATGTCGGGCTTGACGTTCTTGATGCCGTGGATGCAGCCGGCCAGGTCCTTGGTCATCTTGCCCGAGTCGACCGTGTCCACACACGCCTGCTCAAGGGTCTGAGCAAACCTAGAAGCGGAGGATCGGGCAGTCAAGCAAACGTCCAAGCCGCCCTTGAGAGACACGTTCCCCCCCCCCCCCCCTCTGCGCAATGGCTGAACTGCTTTCCGTCCATAAAGTAGACGGTGAACAGGACCATGTGCGCTAGGTTTAGCTGACCTATAACAGCTCAAGACAAAAATGCACGACCCCGCTAAGCCATTCGACACGTTACTGGCCTCCTGATCACTTCCGTCCAAATCATGCAACAGTCATACTAAACGAGTCGGACTGCACGCGAACCCCCCCCCCCCCCCCCCATGGCGACACTGTGACTAGCGATGTGCGCGTGTGGCTCGCCACCACGCGCGACCCCCGACCGGAGCATATGCCAGGCGGCTACCGACCTGGCCAGCTCTGGCGTGTCGTCCAGCTTGGCGCGGTGCTCCAGGCCGCGCGTCCACGCGAAGATGGAGGCGATCGGGTTGGTGGAGGTGGGGCGGCCCTTCTGGTGCTCGCGATAGTGGCGCGTCACCGTGCCGTGCGCCGCCTCCGACTCGATAGTCTTGCCGTCAGGGCACATCAGCACCGAAGTCATCAGGCCCAGCGAGCCTGCAGCCGGGGACACGTCACCATCAATGTCAGCACTCATGTCATCAGGCCCAGCGAGCCTGCAGCCGGGGACACGTCACCGTCAATGTCAGCACTCTGTAACCAGACCGAGCGAGCCTGCAGCCGGGGACACGTCACTGTCAATGTCAGCACTCTGTAATCAGACCGAGCGAGCCTGCAGCCGGGGACACGTCACCGTCAATGTCAGCACTCTGTAATCAGACCGAGCGAGCCTGGGGCATATCATGGGTCGAACACGCCAGTCAACATCAACACCGGCGTTATCAGATCACGGGGTCGCAGGGGAGGGGACGGGAGGGGGGGGGGGGCTGCACGTTAAACACCATACGGTCAACACCAGCAACGATAGCATCAGGCCGAGATAGCGGAAGTATGGAAGTCCCACGTCAACAACGTCAGCACGGACATGACCGGACCGAGGAGGCCTGGCTACTTGTCACTGGTCAAGGGCATAACACGTCAGACTTAAAATGTCACATCCACATCAAACGTCAACTACGCTCCAAGCATCCTAGGCCGCATGCTCATGGGGTGGGAGATGGTCGGATCCCCAGGACACAGGAGAGGGTCAGAGCCCCAGGACACGGGTGAGGGTGGGAGCTCGGACACGGGGGAGGGTCGGAGCCCCGGGGCACGGAAGAGGGTCGGAGTCCGGGCGCACGGGGAAGGGGGGGGGGGGTCGGAGCTCGGAGACACGGGAGCGGGTCGGAGTCCGGAGACACGGAAGAGGGTCGGAGCCCGGGGGCACAGGAGGGGGTCGGAGCTCGGGGACACGGGAGCGGGTCGGAGTCCGGAGACACGGAAGAGAGTCGGAGCCCCAGGACACGGAAGAGGGTCGGAGCCCGGGGGCACAGGAGGGGGTCGGAGCTCGGGGACACGGGAGAGACTCTGAGTCCGGGGACACGCAATACGCTTCCGGGATCAGATCGCAAGGTCACACATCTGGGCCAGCGTCACCCTACGGCAGTCTGGCGCTGTATCTAGATAGGGGGCGGGTCCTGGCACCTTTGGCCTCTACTTCTCAGGACCACGACACGACCAAAAAAATTGTCTGACTCAGCTAAAAATGTCAGGCGACCCATTAACCTTTGGGGGCATCTGCCTGACAACACGGCCATAACCTACTGATGCAGCACCAGCCAGCAACATTTACGCAGAGAACTCACACACCAGCAATGACTTCCAATCACAGACATCTTCAGCCGGTCACCAGCGTGCCAGCCAACAAACGACCAACAGACGGGTCCACCAAGACAGCACCAACCCCGAGTCGCCACTGCTGCCGCCACGCGCGCCGGGCGGCGACCACTCGCCGTATCCCTGAGCTCCACCCAGACAGCGCCGACCCCGAGTCGCCACTGCTGCCGCCACGCACGCCGGGCGGCGACCACTCACCGTATCCCTGAGCGACGATGTCCGACTGCACGTCGCCGTCGTAGTTCTTGCAGGCCCAGACGAACCCGCCGGCAGACTTCAGCATCTGCGCCACCATGTCGTCGATCAAACGGTGCTCGTACCAGATGCCCTGCTTGTCAAACTGCGCCTTGTACTCCCTGCGGCACAAGGGGGGGGGGGGGGGGAGAGGGATCACAAACGTATTCACGTACGTGCTCCACTGCTAAGTTGCCCACAAACACCTTGCGATAGTCAGACAGGACCGAGAACACAAGTTGCAGTGATGAAGTGATGAGGTCCTCCTCACGAAATGTTAAATACTGACTGGCTATTTTAAATTCAATCGAATCACTTGTCTACGTAGGTACTCTGTTATACAGCGTCATGTTAAAAATGCAAGAAATCATTACGTAATTCTTACTTTTGAAAGATTTCTTCGAAGATATCCTTGAACCTGCCGTCATACCGCTTCAGGATGGTGTTCTTGGTGGACATATACAGGGGCCAGCCCTTCTGGAGCGCCACCTGGCAACGGGAGGGGATGACTAGCATCGATGCGGTGCTTGCCTGCAGCGTCTAGCACACGACCAAGCTCCAGAAAGACCGTAACGTAACGTCCCTGGATTCTTTCCTCTACCAATGTCACAAATTACTAGCGACAAACACGCCCCAGCGCCATTGTATTTCTACGCTAGAAGTAAACCGCTGACGCAAGCCATCAGCCGGCTGGATTTCCGGCGTCCGATCACGTGATGACCTCGTGCGGTCCACCCGCCAGCCGCACAGTCTGTGACGCAACAATGCAATCTGACCAAACGCCACCGGAGTCAGGAGACAGCCTCTAGATGGTTGACTTCGTTAGGCCGGCACTCAGCAATTACCATGGAGGAGGTCTGACAATCAGGCGCTCGAAAACCACAGCTGCGACAGAATTACCGCAGCTGCGGCGCCGTGACAGAACAGCAGGAGCCAGTGCGAAGACGAGGGAGGGGTGCATGAAAAGAGGAGCACTCACAGAGAAACCACGTTCGTCCTTAGAAACACAGCAACTGAGCACATGACAGAAAGCGCGCCCACCTGGAAGCTGGAGTGGGCGAAGCTACGGATGGACTCGTCGGTGTTGTACATGGCCATGGCGACGCCGCCGCCGTCCTTGAAGGTGAACACCTCAGTGGAGGTGGGACTGCCACCGGCCGGGGTGTACAGTATCTCGACCTGCCGGAAGATGTGCGCACCGTCGGTGGGGGGCCCACAACGGACTGCGAGCGGGCGCGCGCAGCTCCAAGCTGATATGACAGCAAGAGGCGAATGGGGAAGGCCAAACACAAAATTTAAACCCGTTACAATAACCAGTCTATATTCGTGGGGTACGCATATCAATTGGCGCATTCCATGCAAGATGTGCATAAACACTACACTGCTCAGTTACACATATGCAGAATGTATGTGGGACGGTATTTACAAATCGTTGAAAAATTAAAGCGAACGTTTCAAACTTGTCTAGAGTATTCAACTGGAATAGCCATTTTCAAGTTTTATTACATATAGTTCAGTTATGTCCTTTTCAGGACTTCAAATCCCCTCGTTTCTGAGCTAGATGCACACGAACTTGTGCAGAATTTCCGCACCGCTTGACTTGTCTAAAGTACGGCAACAACCATTATCGCATCAACGAACGGCAGCTGGCTTTCAATCAGCTAACAGGAAGAACCGCGTTTTGTGATACATCATACAGGCCATTAGGCAGTCCTTCCAATTGTGACGGATGCGAGACCGGGAATCCAATAAATTGAGAACAGCGCCGTAAATACGAATCCGAGTGGGGGTAAAAATATAACATCACGGACGAACATGCAAGCACACTACGAGTACGGACCAAAACACGCGCACATACCGATCGTCGGGTTCAGGAGTGTAGTTTCCTATTCAGATAGGGGGAGAGGGGGGGGGGGGGGCTTCCCAACTTAGGGAAGGAAGCGGTCAAAATCCGAGGGAGAAACCTATTTGATGACACATTTTGGGGGTACTCTGGGCCATTTTTCACCGTGCAGCCTCCCCCCCCCCCCACCCAATTCATTTTGTGAAACTAAGCCCTGGTCGGCTTTATCACGCGCGCATAGCTTCATAAACCAGCTTGTGACAAGTTGAAATATAAATAAGCCAGCCAGTCCGCTACGGTGGCAATTCTAATGCAATCAGTCTGGCAGCCACTCTGATGTCAAAGCAACGCTCCATGACGTAAGTAAAACAATGCCGTGTTGATCAGCGTATTTGCTTAACAATAAATTTTTGTCATCCGGAGCAATCTCCTGCACTTAGAACCATATCAGTAGTTACAAGCGAACTTTTCCGTAATACATGATGATCGCATCCATGTTTTCAAAGGCGGAGCATTCTCTTTCAGGATAGCCTGCACGCCGAGTCAATAGTTCACACTATGCACATCACGCCGCGGTGGAGACCATCGTGGCCACAGATATTTCTTTTGTGTCAAGATGGTTGATTAACGAATTGACAGAATTCAATGAAGTTCATCACCTAATTGCAGCACAGACATTTTTTGTGTGAACCGCACCCGCACACCACATCAGCGGCCGCCCTCGGGCCGGACGCCTCCCGGCAAGCGCCGCCCCGGTGCGCGCGGCAGCCGCCACCCGTCATATTGGCCGCCATATCGCCCAGTCAGCGACAAAATCGCGGTCACCCGCCTCTAGCGGCGCCAACGGACGGGCGCCCGGCCGCCGCCGCCGCTGAGGGCGCAGATTCTGCTGCGGCCGCTGCCAAAGCCGCCGAAATACCAGCTGACCAGGCGGCCGGCGCGCTGGCCGGGCGAAAATAGCCGACCAGCGTCAGGCGGCGGCGGCGGCGGCGGCGGTGGCTGACCCGCAGCAGCGCCCGCCGCGGGAGGATCCGCCAGAGAGACGGGACGGCGTGACCCCAGGTCGGCGCGGGGCCAGGCCCTCCGGAAGCCTGTCCCGCCGATCCCGTCCACATCGCCAGCCCACTGGCTCTGATTCACGGCGGGGGTCCCCGGTCCCGGTCGGCACATGATTGACCACACCAGATACCGACGCGGCAAGGCGCGACGCGCCCGTCGCGCATCAGCGGCTCAAGCTGGAGCCGGGACGTGTATGGCCGCGGCCCGCCGCGATGGGGCTAGGGCTGACCGTGACGGGAACGGCCCCACCACAGCTGAGTAGCAACACGCCGCACGGCCGTCATGACAGCCTTCGTTTCCGCCACAACGCGCTGACGTCACCCGACAGTACAGCTTCTGTGCAAGGCACGCCGCTGTGTCTCGGCGAGCGTGACCTGCCGGCCCGGCTGCTGACCTTCCCAGGACCGGGCAGCACCATATCGGTGGCCTTGTACTGGTCGCCGTGCGCGTGGCGGCCGATCACGATGGCCTCCGTCCAGCCGGGCACGATGCGTGGGATCGTCTTGCAGATGATGGGCTCGCGGAACACGGTGCCGCCCAGGATGTTACGGATTGTGCCGTTGGGGGACAGCCACATCTTCTTCAGCTTGAACTCTGGGGAGGCAGAGGCTTGACGTTAGCAGGGAACGGAACATGGCTCTAACAACTTGCGCCGTTTCCATTATATCACTAGTACTTCACAAGATATACCGTTACTACCGGAGGGTAACCCGCTGTACCTCGATATGCCAGCGCTTCCCCAGCGCTGGTACATTGGCCGTCTGCCCATCACCAGTGGGCACGGGCCCGTCCGCCCACTTCAACGTCCACTCCACACGCCCACTCAGCAGGCGCAAACACCAGAGTCCCGTATCTCGTCTCATTTGAGAGCGTTCCCGAGATGTCTGTGTGCGGGGGGGGGGGAGGGGGGGGGGGGAGGCGTCTGCTCCAATGCAGGGCATAACGGGCAGCACCCACCGACGGCCCGCTATCGGCCGGCTGCACCCTGCCTGAACCGCGCGCCCGGCTCGCCACGCTATCACGGTCACGCTGTGCCCACGTGATTGCAAAGCCAGCCACATCAACCCGACTCGTGTAACTTGCAGCTAGGTCCTCGCAGAGCCGCGCAGAATGGGCTGATTTGAACAAACTAATGGGGCGCCATCTGATAGGAATCCCAAAGGGGGAAATATCGACAGCGGATTGAGATTGAACATGCAACATCTTCTTGCTTCCTGATCCATCTTAGTAAGCACATCCTTCGTTGGTTTGATGCACATTTCAAAGGTTGCATGCCGCTTTGAGATCTTTTATTACATGAATGAACAATGTGAACGATGTGCTCACATCACCATGCATGGAAAGGTATGAACTGTGTGAACTTTTCTTGGTCATGCCACCCCCAACCCAGTAGCAGGCCCGCTGACTATAAGCTTCAGCTGAGTGCAGCTCCGGTTACGGCGATATCGACGACAGCGGCACAGCAAAATAGGCGCTGGGTCGAACTTCGACCAGAGCCCATGGGTCTCTGCGCTGGCCGGAGTTCACCGCCGCCCAAACCGTTGACGCCGGGCCGTCGAAACTCAAGCGGGCGGGCGGCGGAGACCGACAGTGACAGGAGAAAAACCGGCTCATCCCGGCCCATACATACTGACGACACTGGCCGCCACGTCACCCATTCGAGCCGGTCCGAGCGCACCCGGCAGACGCCCCGCAGCCCCCCCCCCCCTCCCCCCGCTCGTCGCCGGGACCGGTTGGTGGCGTGACATCAGAGCCGGCGGCTCACGTGGTGAGTGGTTGAGCCGGCGGTCCGCCAGGTGGCAACAGCACGGCCGGATCACGCGCTGGGGACGCCGCCACCGTTAGCGCGCCGTCTGTGCCAGGGGACCGGCTGGGGCGCCTAGCGACCAGCGCGCCCACTGGCGGCGGCTCCAGTCGGCAGGAAAGGACGCGCCGAAGCTGGCCAGGCTCGCTCAGTCTTCCAATTAAGGCGACGACGATCATCGCACCGTTACGGATCGAGTTTTCTTCAGGTTCCTGCGACCTTAGTGCCGGCGGCGCACCGGGCAAACAGAAGAAGGCTTTCAACAGGAATGGTGATCAGATGGCTGGGAGCGCGACCTATCGAAGCAGCCGGCACGACAGCCAAGAACGACTTCTAACCACCCATTCACAACGACGAGGCTTCCGACGCTGATGTAATCGCCGTTGCATTAACAGACGAACAGAGCGGGGGTCATGGCCCCCACTTGCAATGGCCGTTTGCACATACAACGATGCATGGAATTAAATCCGGTGATGTCTTCAGCTAATCTTCAGCCTGGGCACCTCTTTGAAACGGCAGTATTCCAGTTCGCTGGCTACTGCGGTCCGTACTGCCGGTGAAGGCATCCACCGGACACATATTTCGCAAATCAGTGCCACGGCGAACCCGCACGAAGCTGCAGCCTCATGCCCCGACACGATGCAATCCCACGACAGGCACCGGCCGCACTCCCAGGTGCGCCAACGCCACCAATGCCTGCTCGCTGTCACCGACAGCCCTTCTGACATTCGCTCGGCCCCTGCCGGCACACGCCTCTCAAAAGGTCTCCCCTCTCAGGGGCGCGTACGCGCCGCCTGTTCAGCGGGCAGCGCCGCGACCGCTTGCCTTCGCCAACTCGCGAGGGGCGGCAACGCTCCGGGCCTGAAAATGTCGCCGCGTTACTGCACACGCGGGAGATCCGTGGGCCGGCCGGCTCGTCCCCAGCATTCGTCAGGGAACCGCCCGGTCCGTAAGGTGAACGGTCATCAAATGCTATTTAAGGCTAGGGTCAGGATTCAGAGAGCAGACAAAACGGCTTTGGCGGCCGAGGCGCTCTCCCTGAGCCCAGGATAACCATCTGAACGATACGCAGGCCTGTTGACGGACGGCTGGCAAAATGGTTACCCTCGGCCGCTAGTTCACGCGCGTGTATCCAAACCACATTGAACATACAACAAAAGTGAGCCTTCGACGCCAATAGATACGTTGAGGCTATCACAATCAAGCTGACAAGGCATCGGGTCGCTCGCATTTTTTGTTTGCATTTTTTTCCTCAGCCGGCGGACGTGCTTACATAGCTGAAACCGTCCCCGTTACAACATGCATGAAAGCCTACCAGCCCGCAAAGCCTGAGGACTAGTCGGACCACCGCGTCTTATTTTGACCCGCCACACCAGTGACCAGCCCACGGCAATGTCTTGCACACCTGCAGCATATCGCCGCCATGGCCATTGCTCAGCGAGCACGAAAAGCGCGCGGCGACTCTGGCAGGCCAGGGAACGGCGGGTGGATGACGCGGAAGAGCGAGCCGAACGACGGCACAATTGTGCAGAGAGGTTAGGAAGAGGAACCGTCGAACTCAAGTGCATTTATTGGCACAAGAATCGCTGGATCATGCACGAGGAACGAAACTGCTATTCATGGACATGCTTTTGGACACTTAATTTCTTGACTGAGCTCACTGTCAGTACTAATATCCCAGCCTGTCACGAAGACTGACTGAAACGGGACAAAACGGAAGACAGCTGGCAGGTTTTGAACCTGCAACCCTTCGGTCTCGAGACCGGCTTTCCGCCAGGGTGCAAAGAACATGTTGCACCCTGGACTGAGTGTGCCCAAAAACTAGTCATACCTTTCCGTTCAACGTCGCGTCAGCTGCTACCCCGTTGTACTAAAGCATGCGGAGCGTTGCACTGGACCAAATTCGGGCAGCCTCCCTGCATTTTGTTGGCCACTATCAGGATCAGTGCGCGTCAGTCGTCACGAACCGGGCCGGGATCGGCCAAGGCTGAGACGAGTTCCCCTTTCGCTCTGTGTATGAGCCATACAATGGGGCAGCTGCTCCATGGCTGCACCCGGCGCCAACCGGCTGGATACCACCCTCAGTGATGTGGCCCACCTGGCTGGTCTGTCTCATGTTCCGCCCGTCTGGTCCGTTAATGTTGCTATTGGGGCTTTCCGACGCACCCAACTGCTGCGGCTATGCGGCGTCGTCTGCCTCTCACCCTGACAGGAAGGGCGGGCACCGCGGGGAATCGAACCCCGTACCCCCTGTTTCCCAGCCGAGCAGTGGTCAACGCGAACGCGTCAACCACTACACTACCAACACCCTCCCAACTGGTTTTGTGCCGTGTGTCCCACCCGACTGGTCTGTCCCATGTGTCCCGCCAGACTGTCAAGACCGTTCAGCATCCTACATATAACAGTTACAGGCAGACAGCAGGTAGAACCTCACAATCGTCTGGGACGGGACGGGACGGGACGGGACGGGACGGGACGGGACGGGACGGGACGGCAAGGGACGGAGCGGCGTACCTTCCACGCGCTCTTCGTCGGGCGTGATGGTGGCGCATTTGATGCCGACGTTGTGCTTCTTGATGGCCAGCGCCGAGTCGATGGTGACCTGGTCGTCGGTCTGGTCCCGGTAGGGCAGGCCCAGGTCGTAGTACAGGCACTCCACCTGCCGACGACGTCCCAGGGGTCAATGTCTAGCTTGCCGCAAGCCGATTGTTGCGACGGGTTGTTACAGTACAGACGCTCAGCCTTGAACTATCAGAAGTCGGCCACACGTACAAAATCTACAGAAAACGAGACAATCGTGAAGTACAGGCTTTGCATTATTGGTGAGGTACCGTAATGAGTTCCAGCTTCGCCCACAGACAATCTGGAGACCAACGCAACCAAACGGTCTTCCCTTCGTCTACGTTTCGCACCCACTTCCCAGCCTCAATGTGATCGATGCCTTCACCTTCGACTACGTTGCGCCAAACTCCACAGTCATTGCCGCCATTCAAAATACAAACCCGCTCAAGCATCCAATAGCCCTGGGCATCTCAAGTGTGTGCAGAATTCAAAGTAGCCAGCACAGCAGCCAATAACCACTACCAACGGCTCATTCGCAGATGGGCGGCACATTGGCTAGCCCAGCGGCGCTGATGTAATCGCCGCCGCATAAACGAACGAACAGGGTGAGGGGCATGGCCCCCGCTTGAATGAACGTTTAACATGACATGCATGCGACCATGCATGGGATAAAATGAGTTAAAAGGAGTCGGACCCGACCTTCTCGACACCTGTACGCTGGTGAGACGGTTGAGTATTCATGGACATATGCTAAGGAATGTATCTCATTTGTAGACGAGGCGCGACAAAGCAAGGCAAGTGAAGTCCCAAGCGTAGCGGCATGGCACGCCGGTGGTCACGTTCGTGGCCAACCCAGCACACCCCAGCGTGAGCGCCACGCGTCGCTCCATCGCCCAGCAACAGCTGTCGGACTGCAGCCCAGTGAAAGCGGGCGCTGCGGGTCCGCTCGCGCCCGGCTCGCTCACGCTCGGCCCGCTCACGCCAGCTGCAGTTCGGCTGTCAGCGGCGGTCAGCGGCTGACCGTCGCTGACCGCGCCGCTGGTCGATATTAGAAGCCGAGACCCCGGCCCGCCCGCCCGACACGGGGTTTCTGGCACAGCGCGACGAGGCGCGGCGGCGCCTGATCCCCGCGGCCAGTGTCACGTGACCTGTGCGATATGATCCGCCTGAGCCGGGCGGCGGACTCCGGCCCTTCTGGACCGGGTCCTGGCCTAAGGTCGCATGCCGGCAGAGGTGGCCAGGTCTGCCGGGATGGTATGGCACGTGAGAGCCGGGATATATCGGATAGGCCAGAGTAACATGGGATGTGGGCTGGGGTATTGTCAGATGAGGGTCAGTTTAGACTGGGGACGTGAGGGCTGGGGTATCATGAGATGAGACTAGGGTAACATGGTTATTGATAGCAAGGACAAGAGTAAAATAAAAGGACAAGAATAAAAGAAAAGGACAGGAATAAAACAAGAAGGGTCTCGTTAACTAAAAACAAGGCGTTTGAAACACTGCCCTTTTTACGATGTTCAAGCTCAATAACATTTTCAAACACATAGCAGGGATATTGTGGGACAAGAGATCTCAGCCACGGGCATGCAATGAACTGTTGTTTAGTATCATATAAATATATGTAAATGTACATATATTGTACATATATTTATGTGCACACACACACATATATATATATATATATATATATGTATATATGTATCTATATATATGTATACATATATGTATATTTATATATATTTACAATTTCATTCCAATTACCGAGATTACTTTGCGAAGCAATGGAATCAGTCGGGGCAGCATGACATGTAAGACGAAATAGCACTGACAAGCGCTTGCGTGCTTGCTTCGCTGCGCCGATGTAGAATTGGGAAATTTCAATTATGCATCTTTTGCAGTTGGAATCACGGTTCTAGGTGCACTGGTTGCCGAGATATCGCGCGGAGTCTGAAAAAGACTCGGCCGCAGGCCGCGTTGGCGGTCTCTGGCGGCCGCCGGCGGGAGAGCGCATTTCGCCTGCGCTCTCTGCAACACAGTCGAACCTATTGCATGGGATCGGCGATTGATCGTGGGACAAAGCCGGCGATTTTTGCCTTTTCATCAGCTGTCAGCCTTTTGAATGATGGCAGCACGCATTGCCGTTGTTTTAAACAACACTGTATTGTACCGAACAGTGAAAAACGGCCAAAAAAAAAAAACGTGGTAGCGGCCAAATCAATTTTGCTGGCTCGCGCATACGCGGCGCTACAACATATACCACGCGACTGTCCGTCCAACTCCCCATCAATGCATGCTTCTCCCGGGTGCGCCACGCGCCCGGAGTGCAGCGATGTGACACAATACGTGTGGAAGTGTGCAAAATAGAAAAATCCATTATCCTAAGTAAAAGCCACTCATCATCACGGTTTCAGGTGCCCTAGTTGCCGAGATGTGGCGCAAAACGGGAAAAACGGCCGGTAACGGCCAAATCTGTCTCGCTGGCTTGTGAACGTGTCGCACAAAGCACGTGCGACATGACAATTCATGCAACGTCGTTGCCTGTGCGATTTCTTACCAATGCATGCCACTCCCCAGTGGCTCCGCGCCCTGGGTGCCGAGAAGTGGCACAAAGCGTGGAAAACCCGTGGAAAAGAGCAAAAGCCATCTTCCTGGATCTTGTGCTCCCGACACGTGTAACGTGCCACCCCGCACTTGTGACACCATAGAATTTCCCGTTCAATGTCCTATCGCAGCATGCCGGTCTCGTGTTACTATGTGCCATAACAGCGGAAATCCTGCGTATTGTGAAAATGGACGAAATCGGCAAAATAGAGCTTCGCAGCTAATGTGCACCTGTCACATGACACATGCAGCATGACATTGTACACGTCTGAGTGATTGCCCGTTAGGTCACCTATCGAAGAATGCCAGTCTCTACGCACTTTATACCCTGGTTTCTGGAGATATCACGAAAACATGTAAGCCCCTCAAAAGAGTAAAATCGTGCAAACCCATAGTTTAACACATGGGCGCCATGACATGTGGCAAGTGTCACCACAGTCATCATCTGGCTCCTGAATAAGCGCGCCAATCCCGGGTGTGTTCGTTCCATAGGTACCGAAATGTGTCACAAAACGTGCAAACCCGTGGGAGGGAGCAAAATCCATCTGTGATCCAGTGCCGCGTGATCCGTGTGACCGTACCATTTCGATTGCGCAAACTTGCGATGTGATCGACAGTGAAGTCGCGTCAACTGTGAATACGCGGAAACAAAATTTACGCTTGTACGCGCACTGCGAACACAGCGACAGCCACGCACAGCGCGCCGTCGACCACCACGCAGCAGCCCACCGCCCGCCCGCCGGCCCACGGCCGGACAGACTGAAACACGCCAGAATCTGCGCCAGAATGCTCGTTCTGTAATAAGAAGTTTGGCGAAATGAACAAAGCCGAAAGCCCGCGGCGCGAATGGCCATTTTAACCCTTAACGCCTGGGGCGTACGCCGGGAGCCGGGTACGCAACTTGCCGCCGTCGCGGCGAAAATGATGTCATGCAGCCCCTTAGTCTAGGCTCATTTGCAAACGATATTTTTAAACATGCCATCTACAGAAGGGTGCATCAAAGACAGGACAAATCAGCCGACACGCTGATGTAGTTTTCAACGCCAGATCACGCATGGTTTTGACCGTAGCGGCTAGCATTTGGCACCGGTTTTTAAAACTCAGTCTGTGGCAAATTGTATTGCAATTTGCAGCGCAACGATACGTTGCGATGCACACTGAAAGCAAAGCCCGCTTCAATTGTGAATGCCTTTAGGTGCCCTGCGCGCCGAGCTTTCGCAGTAAGCGTAAAAACGGTTGATTTTATCTTGTAAACACGTGTGACGTGGCGCCAAACACACACCCGATCGTGATGGCCAATTGCGTGCTCTATCGCGCCGTGCAAGTTGTATGTCGCTGCGACCGTTGATTACCGAAATACGGCTCCGGGAAACGAGGCATGTCGGGGCGTTGGCCGGAATCGCGAAATTGGCGTCGCCCGTGTTAACCCTGCGGGATTTTTGCGTTCTTTTTTTCGACACACACACACACACACACACACACACACACACACACACACACACACACACACACACACGCACGCACGCATGCACGCACGCACGCACACACACACACACACACACACACACACACACACACACGCATACACTGTTCCTTTAGTAATATAGTGATGATGATGATGATGATGATGATGATGATGATGATGATGATATCGGGGCCAGGACTGCATGAAATAATATGCCTGGTATAATCTCGAGACCGAAACATTGCCACTCTCATTACGTACTATGCTATCCGGGATAGTATGGGCCATGAGTACGCATTCACACCCCTTACTGGTCCGAATAAAATATACGGTGGATAAAGACCTGGGGCTGATATCTGCCGCCAGTTCACTGCTACCAGGTGGCGTTTGTTCATTTTGAGCACGCTGAGAGTCATGCCAGCCGCTGCAAAACAAAAAACATTGCTTCTATGTATGTGAGAATGCCGCAAATACGGACCCAGCAGCGCTCTTCCGCTCCAGACGTTTTGCATGACGACTAACCACCGTACGGAAATAATGATGCACCAGGTTCAACGAGCAAGCATACTGTCAACTCTGCGCTAACAAGCAAACCTATCATAAGCGCCATGCAGTATTCCAAGGGCAAATGAGTCCATTGCCTGCCGAATGCTACCGGATTTCCCAGAACCTGGCAGCACTACGGTGTGGGGATCCTGATCAGTCACGTCGCCTCGAAACTCCACCGAACGCGTCCAAACAAGGTAGACACAAGGGCGGTGAAGATCAGAGCTGAGAGCCGCGCATGAGCCAGTCACGGTCCCCTTGCGCGGTCAGCCAACTACCGCGCCGCAGCGGCCCAGTTTCGCGCCCCCTGGCGCAGCTCTTCAGCACGCCTGACCATGTCGGCTTCAGCCCGACAAATCACAGCCGTGCATGCCGTGAAACTATACGTGGGCAGCACAGTGCAGACCGCCTGCAGCCCACCCCCGACCTAACCGATGGGGCCGGCGTCCGCAGATTGCCAGCAGCAGCAGGGGAAACCGCAGGCCAGCCTAAGCTGCCGGAAACAACCGGTGTTCACTCGGACCGACTGCGGCCGGCGGTGGGACGAGGGCGTCGTCGCCACCGATAGGGGGCTTCTCGTCGGCGCCGACGGGTCGGTGCTAAGGTCGAGCTCCTGCGGACGACAGGCCAGTGGCGCCTACAGGTCAAGCCGGGCTTCAAACCGCACCCTCGGGACCTGGGATGAGAACTGAGCTCGCTGCGCAGTCTGGCCGACGATGTTGGCAGTGTTTCAGAAGGCCTCAGCCGGCAACGGCTCAGCTTTTCCGGCGAGGGATATCTCTGGGCAGTGTTCTGCAGTGTCACAGTGCAGTGTTGGAAAGAGCTCTGCAGATGTTCCGATATGTTCGACGAAGTGCTCGTCTCTGCTGAGCATTATCTGGATTGGACTGTTGGAGTACCGACCAATGACAACAGTCTCACACGGGCCACAAGTGTCCATGGACGATGGTGGCGTTTTATGTTGGCTTTAAACAACAAAGTTAACCGCAGCCGCAGTTCGGCAGCAGCGGAAATAAACTTGAGACTGCTGTGTACCACCACAATTAGCTCGAACGTCAACATTCTCAAGTTTTTGGGATAGCGACTCGCCAGTTGTCGGATCTTCGTGCATGTACGTACATATCACGCATCGTTACCACGTTTCACATTCATATGCATCTGTCGCTGCTGACAAATTAACAACATAAAGGACCTGCCATTCCGTGATGCTCCGCAGCAAATAACCTAGCCACGACACGAAGGCGTATCCAGCCATAATACCTCTGTAACATCGCGTGCTGCTTTGCGATCACGAGCGTGCCTGCTCCGTCCAACACTACCGGCTATTTATTGGCGCCTCACGTAGCGCGTTCTCCGGGCCGGTGTAACCAAGCCGAGCCAGGCCGGCCATCGGCTCCTTGCCACCTGCCCGACCGGTTACACAACGCGAGCAACGTGAGCGTGCAGCCGCCGCCGCTATCAGACAGCACATCTGCAGCCCTCGCCGGCCGGCCGGCCGTCCGTCCCCGGGAATGTGGCGCAATACGGCGACAGGCGGCGGCGGAGCGGCGCGGCTGGACGCCACGCGCAGCCTCCTGCCGCAGCGCGCGTCGCTAAATAGTCGTGGTGCATCGGAACTCGGACATCACTCCTATGCGCCGGTTCAGGGCCTTTCGACGCTGTGTCAAGTGGCGTAGTACTCATGTTAATTGGAAAATTGGGGCGACTATATTTAGATATATGAGCATACGTACAAATGCTCCTTTTCTCAATGAAACTGATAACTATAGGTTGCATTCGTCATGCATATATTCATCATGCATGCACATTTTCAATTTGCCGCGTGGTGCGCTCAGGGTCGCGCTGAAGGGTGTCAGTTTTACGTGGTTGGGCGTCGTTTTCCAGCTACGCACCTCCCAAACACATAGCATAGTTCAACACAGCTTCGGTTGTAATCAATGACGATGCACATAAAACCTGCCAAATGTGGAAATGACGAAACAAGGTGCGGTTCGCCTGCTTCGGCGCCTCCCCAGCGGCTCGGCCATCCCGCCACTTCTCCAGTGACCAGGCAGCGCTTCGGCCGCCGCCGGCCGAGGCGGCCGAGAAGCGCCGTCGCGAGCGGGCGCTCTCGCCGGCCGCTTTTTACCGGCCGACAGCGCCCCGGGGCCAGCCCAAGACTGAGCGCGAGGAGGAGATAGGATGGACGGACGGCAGGTGAACGACCGGGCGGCGCGGAGCGGTGCCACCGCCGCGGCACACACTCACGTTCAGGTAGGGGAAGATGAGCGTCTCCTTGATCTTCTCCCAGATAATCCTGGTCATCTCATCGCCGTCCAACTCGACGACCGGCTTCACCACCTGGATACGCTTGCCGGAGTCTGGAAACGAGGCCGGCGACGTCAGACGTGCGCGCGTAAAAGAAGCCCACTGCAGTCGGGCGCGGTGACAATACTGGGCATCTCCGAACACAACTCCACCGTGGTTAGAGGCATTTCATAGACACCAACGTGAAATCACGGCAAACTGTATACAAGCGATCAGCACATCGCTGCTAAAGCATTTTGCTGATGCGTTTTCAACTCCTGCACCCTGGTACGAATCGAATTTACGGGCAATAAAGCACTATTGGGCAAATATCAATAGTACCTGGTTGTGCCTTTACTCTAATAGTCTTGGTTGTGCTTAACCAGCAGGACCATTTTAACACGTTCAGTGAGCGTGTGTGTACATGTATGGGGGGATGGCTCCATCATCGGCCAAATTTTCCCCAGTATCAGATATTCCCTCACAGACGGCTACTCTTTCCCCTTGACGAGCTCGTTATAGCCCCGTAATATATCGCAGCAAGTTTGCCACTTTTTTGTTGTCTTTTAAATCCCAGAAGAATGAATTTAGGGTATGATAGGTGAGCCAAATCGGTCACGTGGTGGAAATTTACGACTGTGACTGAGCAAAGCTCACTGTAACCTTACATCGTCGTCGAAAATGCCTGCATTTTCCCCATCGTGTATTTCGGTTTAAGGATCAGGCAAAATAACGCAAGTCTAGGGATAAAACAAATCCCGCCAATACGGACGTATGTGCAAACAACTCTTGACCACCCTACCCCCCACCGTGCGAGCAGAGAGCAGATAAGCAGGGCAAAGAACACCGTCCCCGTCCAACGTCCAACCCGTTCCATACCGCGGTCTGTTTACGCTAACGGTCGCGGCACACTACACGTAAATCACGCCGCGTTAACAAAAACGTGTGACAGCATGCCGGCACGCGGCCCAGTTAGCCTCACCACGCGCGCAAAAAGTTGACGACGATCCGCCAGGCTGGTGGGCGCTTCCGAACCTAACGCGAGCTGTCGGCGCGCATCCCGGGCGCACGGCGGCGTCTCTCCACCACCACACCACACCCTGGGCGCCCACAACCTCGGGTGCCGGAGACGGCCTTAAACAACGCGGTGACCTTGGCGCCGGGACGAGCCGAGGTCGCCGCTGCGGGGGCAGCGACCCCGACGCGGCGGCGGGCCCGCGCAGACCGACTATTGATCCAGCGCGGCGGTGGAGGCCGGATCCGCGGAATTATGCCGAAGGGAGCGCGACTGCAGCACGACCAGGGGCGGCCGCGGGTGCACCGGCAGAGTAAACTGACGGAGGGCTGCCCCGCGGGGTTGTGCAAACTATCATGGGTTTCCAATAATAAGGCTGGGGGAGGCGGCATCCGACTTGGGAAAATCCAGCAACATGGCCTTACGTGGTGACTCATGCGCTTGAGAGGAAAACTAAAACACGCTTTCCATCAGTACAGCGCTGGTCTGGTTCTCCTGGCCTGTGTCATGAGTGAAGGTGGTCAAACGGACACATTCGTGCAGCATTGTTCGCACCCAATCCGCGTTTGATGGTTAAGTCTGCACGCTGTTGTCCCGAGCAGGCCACGTGGCTGCCTACACGGACGGCCAAAATGACTGAAATGACGAAATGACAAAATGACAAAAACTCAAACCCGAAGTATTACGGTGGGGCGCTGAGAGCTTATGCGGCTAATGCAACCGCTGGCGCTGCGTAGAAGGGGCGTGACGACGCGCGTTGCATTCATTTTACACAAAAAACTTCCACGCCAGTGTCGGTTTGGCTATCGATGATAATAATTCTAGACTTACCGAATAATGCATTAACACAAAATGACATTGTTCAGATGAGTACAATTAGGCGTACGAGTAGTAACTTGTATCCGCCATCCATAATATCGTTTGGGTACGCGTAATTATGCGCGCGATTAACACCCTCATCAGCCCTCCATAATATCGTTGTTTGGATGCATCTATGTAATTAAGCGCGATCACAAACCATCCACAACAGATGAAAACAGATCGTTTGGAGCGAAAATAAGGAACTACAATATAGACATTCATCTGGAGCCTCTCCTGGTGGTTCGGTAGCACATGAAAAACTGGTGGATGGATCCGCACGCAAATCATGGACAAAATTGACGGACAGTTAAATTCTCGTTCAGGGAATTGTGGTCCGGGATCTAGGGATGCAGGCCGCCGTCCCCGCGCTCAGCGGCTCAAAGCGCCATTTGCAGGACACCAGCAGCCGTATCAAGTGTGGGCCATTCGGGGATTTAGAGAAGTGCATTCGTGTTCAGGGAGCTGCCGTGTAGTCCTTTCGCTCGACAGATGAACACTGACCAAAAAAACCAAGGGCGTCCAAATGTTGAAAGACCTGCAATACCACAAAGTACCTTAATAGATGCCAATTAACAAACATCACAGCTCTTTTAGAATTGACAATTCAAACAAAATACCGTGTACTTGGAATCCTTAAACAGCCCTTACAATCGTGGGCACACCAACGAGCTTCTTTTCTCTGATTTCAAAACAAAAATGTGATTTTCTAAAAAAAAATGCAGCATTCCGAATGGCACGCGATTTCAGAACTACAGAAATACTGCCTGTCCTAAGGAGGTCCGGCGCAATGCTATGCAACACTCAACATACACCAACTTTTTGCAGTGAAAAAGAGTGAATGACTGACGAAAAGAAGACGCCATATGAATTATAAGGGAATACCGCGTTGTTCTGCCTAGTAACATGTCTCCGTTTCACCAGTACCCTTAATTTTTCATGATCATGTTTGAGCAAGCTAAGAACTCAAAGAAGAAAAAAGAATTTCACGTTGTGGAAGACTTGGATGAAAAGCAAGAATACCACAACTCGCACAAAAAGCAAAAAGTGACAGTGTTAAACATCTGACTTAATATAATTTCGAACCCACAATTGCTGAAGTGGGTCCTACTTCAGTCGCACTTTGAATGCTGAAAGGAAGCCATGCGAGAGAGCAACTCAGCCCAGACCATTACTATAGGCTTACAAAAAGAGGAAGACGTAGTCACCCAGAGCCTGCCAAATGTCGTCCGTTTAGCATGCACCGGCAAAAATGTTCAACGGTAAAACAATATGACAACCAGGCATTACACATCTCAGATCACTGCATTCAAGCGGCAACATCATCGCGTGAAGACGATTCTTTATTCGTTGTCCAATGTCTGCATCGTTCGAAAACGCTCGCGACAAGAGCCATACTTTGACGCGCGGTCACCTGCCATTACGTCACGAGGACCTCGATCTTCGAGAGCCATATCCTAGCTTAACTCGGTCGACAGCAGGGCCGGGTGGGCCTGCATCTCAGTTCGCACCCCGCCTCCCGTCAGCAGGCGGCGGGAGGCAGGGCGCAGGGACGCCGACGGGCCGGTCGGTTGGTCGTGTTCACCGTGACAGGTGCCCACCTGTCATTATCGACCTGGCCCGGCGGGGAGGGGAGGCCCACAGCCGTCACAGGTGTGGCGGCCAGGCGATGGCGATTCTGCTGGTCGCTGTGGCCACGGCAACAGCTGTATGCGAACCAATAACCGACCGCAGCCTAATTCGAATGACTGTTTTCAACGGGGTCTTTACCTGACTGGATAACCACGCAAACTTATGCGATATTCACATTTGACTTAGATGATTTCAATATCACTAACCAATGTTCGCCAGATCGACACAACAAACTGCTGTGGTAACTACTGCGGTCACTACCCGTTATTATCGACATTATTATCGACGACAGGTGATTTACGGCTACCCAACGCTGGACACGGCCCATCATCACAAAGCGTCATCTCGGCTTGTCACGGCATGAACTTTGGATATTCACTGGCCCTTAGGACCAATCCAGCCACGTGGACTCGGAAATATCGATGCACCGACGCACGGACCTTCAGGCATCCCCAAGGCGCCACCATAAACAGATATCCCCTTGTCTAGCAAGAGAACACCAGGGACCCACTCCCCGCAGCCCGGAGAATCCTCCCCAAGGTCCCACGGATCCTCCCCATCGGTCCTGAAAATCCTCCCCGCGGCCGCAGAATCCTGCCCGTCGGTTCCGGCCCTCCGTAACGCCACCGCCGTCGGCTGCACCGCCTCGCTATCCCACGCCTGTGTACCGTGCCAGATACGGTCCCCGGCTATCGGCCGCGACCGCAGGCCGCCTGTTTATTTGAACGGGTCGGGTCCATCGCAAAAGACCCGACATGACGCAGTCGCCGACAGCGGCCACGGCCGCGCTACGCACACGACCAGCCACCATGACCGACAGTGTGGTTGGAACTGGTTGAAGCTAGGCGCTAACTTGGATCGACAGGCCTGGAAACACTTTTCGAAATGCGTAACTACACCAGGGCAATTGAACATTAATAATTCACATCAACGTCCATAACACAGCGTCAACGTCTCCCAAGAACAAAGCTGCCAGCGCCTCGATAAACCCACGCACAGGTAATGAAAGCGGGCTGTAGATTCACTGGGTACCCGGTGGCCTTCACAACCGGAGATCGGCGTCGTGTTGAACCCACCCAACCACTGACAGCTAGGTGAACACGATCAGCGGTGGAAGAGGGGAGGAGGAGAGGGACGAGCCCGGGCGGGGGCGGCGACGCCAACGAGGGGTCACACGCTCGGGTAACGTGAGCGGGATTGCGTCAGCCGAGTGCGGCACCGCCGGGCGGTGGAACTCGGGGGGGGGGGGGGGTCCGATACCGGGAGTGGAAGGGGGAGGGGAAGAAAGGGAATAATGCCAGGAGAAAGGACGGGGAGGGAGACGGAAAATGAGCAGAGTGGAGCTCACTACCAAAAGAGCCCAGGCGTCCCAACAGCATACCACCAGCATTGCCACCAACTACAATCATTAATGCTAGTTGCAGTGATAATACCAGCCTATGGCACTGCCGTCGCAAGCGGGAAATTCATGCGGGAAAAATGCTGCCCTAATTGCGGAAAAATCGTGACACGGGGTCCCGTGCATCAAATGTGGCGAAGGTAATGCATATTAACGGACTACATAATTATAATGCAAACTTACTGGAAATAACGTTTGCTAAATGCTTGAAGGCAAGATGACCTTACGTAGGACGGAAAACGGCAGCTACATTATCTCTGGGTCGCTTGGAAACATTTACTGTCCGTTCTGGCAGATCATACCTCATGGCGAACAGTGGCGCAATAGAGTTCCGCAACAAGTGGGCCACATTCGGTTGGAACACGAATACATAGGCACATATAAGACATCCCTTGAAACAACGATAAAACTGAGTTCGTCAGAATTAGCACTAAGGTGAACAAAGGTGGATAGATGACAGATGACCATCTTGATATTTGGTCCTTTCACATGGTGTTCAACATCACCGATGCACGACCGTCATCGTACTGTCCTCGTTGGGAAGACAGCCAGCCTCTATGGCTATAAATCCTGCCGTCTAGGCGCAAAGGGCCAACAAGCACGCCAGCCAAGAAAAACGTCTTCTTGCGTCCCAATGCCGTGCCGGTGGAGCCAGATGGCCCCATCATTTACTGAATTGCCTCGATGCTATGGTGCCTTCGCGGCAGCCAACTGACGGAGCAGACGCATCGCCACCCAGTGGAGCTCATGCGTCGCTTCCCAGCGGAGCTAAAGCACCAGTGTCGCCAAACCCACTAACGAAGTCGAAGCTTCCGCTCCGCTAAGGCTCGGGGTTTGGTGATTCACGGCTACCCAAGGCTGGACACGGCCCATCACAAAGCGTTAGCTCGGCTTGTCACGGCATGAACTTTGGATATTCACTGGCCCTTAGGGCCAATCCAACCACGCGGACTCGGAAATATCGATGCACCGACGCACGGACCTTCAGTCATCCCCAAGGCGCCACGATAAACAGATATCCCCTTGTCTAGCAAGAGAACACCAGAGACCCACTCCCCGCAGCCCGCAGCTCCGCTAACGCTAACGCTCCGCTTCCGCTAACGCTCTCGCATCCACTCTACGAGTAGCATACCATCGGCAGCCTGGCACGCCTTCATTACACTCCGCACGGGGAAGAGCGGCCCAGATTTTCGGTGACATAAGCAAGACTTCGATATCCGTAAACGCAGCTGCCGTAAACATTCCCGGAATCAATTTCGGACAAGGACGATGAGATAAGCTAACAGAGTCCAGGGACGCATGGAGACACGCACGCAGATGAATCTCCCAAGGTCAGACTGTCCGTACTGTGACGCCTCGTCGAGAAATCGGTCTGGACAGCGCCTATGTGATCAAGCTGGGGATATTCTCCTCTCGCCCCAATGCGCTGTCGGAGCTTGAATAGCACACACACTGTTCGCACATTGGAGCAGTGTCGACAGGGATCGATCCACACTCAAAACCAACGCGTAATATGAAGTGGTGGCGATAATGACATGGACAGATAAGGCCCTGACTCAAAGCGCGGGCCAAAATCGAAGTAGAGAGCTAAAATTCAAACTACTTCATGTAGTTGGTCCCACGCTTCCAAAGGGTGTCTTCCATTCAATCTATGCAGCGGCATATATACAGAAACGTAAATTGGAGCTGGAATTCCAGCATACCTTTTCCAGCGACACGCTTCATGCTAGTCAGCTGACTCGGTACCGACTTGCGAGCTGAGATGAGCACACCAGTATGCGCGCGCAAAATACTGAACGGCACACCAACATTCCGCTATGTTTCTCCCCCCTCCGCCCCCTCCCTATCCGGCTTGTGAGCTCCAATATCCCCTACATTTGTCATCAAACGCAACAAGCCCTCAAATAATCACATGCCAATGAAAATGCACGCAGCCAAACAATACCCCCAGCGACGCACGCCGCCCCGACTTCGTCCGGCGGTGCTCCCCCTTCCTCCCCCTCGACCCCTTCCCCCACCCATGACCGGCTACGGCCGCGGGTCGGCCCGCCGACCGCGCGTGGTCGGGGTTGTCACCCTGCCTGCGGCGTGTTGGTGACAGCCGGCCGTCCGGGAGTTATTATTTCGCCGATTCCTGGCGCCAACGGCCGCGCCGGCTGACGTCAGAGGGGGCCACCGCGAGCGCGGAACAGCGGCACGGTCACCTTGGGCGGGCTCCGAGGCGCCCCGCCCGCAGCGCGGGGAGCAACGCAGGAGCCGCAGTAAGCCCAGAAATGGTCGTGCCCCAGGGCCCCTCCACGCGGCGCGGTACACAAGTGAAGCGGCTGACGACTGGCAGGCGGTGCGGTGGTGCGCTGCTTGGTGCGAGGTTGAGAGAGAGAAAACCCTAGCTCGATTCGACCAAAACCGGATTCATGAATGAGCAAATTAGTCCATTTGAGCGCGGGTTGGCGCACAATGACAATTGGACGTTCACGAATGACTTGCTGCTGTCAGACTCGTGACTTTAACGACACCAGAAAGCAAACACCAAGCCGAACGCGGTGCGGGTGTGAGCTATTTCCTTTCGCCGGCTCTTCCATGACTTGATCCTCCAATAGAGCACCATTCCCTTCCATATGCTTGATGCGAAATGCATGAAAAATTTGAGTACCGTATATTCCTTAGCAGGATTTCAGTTTCCAACGGCACGATTTGTACAGCACAGACATGAAACTTCTTTTAAATAAACCCGTAGGATATATTCTATTATTAGGATAGGATCATTCATTATGATTCTTTTATCAATAGGAATAATTCATTGATATATTCGGGAAGATGTTTTCTTTCATTCCATTTTTCAACCCCAGCGATTCCCAAACACTCGAAATACTGACGCTTTTGTTCTTTTCTGTAACCTTAACGCTATAAACTAACACACTACCAAGACGAAAGTGACGCCAGGTTGTGATTGTCTTTCACCGGAACCGTGCTAGGGGCAAAACTTCACAGTATCATGGTAGTTAGTAGAAAATTGGTACGAACGTGAGCGATAAGAAGTGAATCCGGAGAGTATGCCGCAGCAATACCTAAAGCTCTAGCTACAAAATTGCGCTAACAGTCCCTGATCGCAATTCTTTCTTGCTTCCTGGAAGGAGGAATGGATAACAAGCATGTTAGTTGACGTCAATTTTTCGGTCCACAATAGGACACTCACAGACAGCTGAGAGGAACGCAATGTAATCTAGTCAGCACAGTAAACGCAACGACGATAGGTGTAATGTTTAAAAAAATCGCCACTTGTTTAGCTTATCTCTGTCCTACCCCCGCCCTCCCATGGAAACATCAATGTTTATGCCTGAGGCTATTGACCAAGGTACTGCTCGCCAATGCCAAAGCTGGAACCTGACGGCAATCTGGAAATTTGTTATTAAGACTTGAAGACTGGCTGGTGTTTGGCTTTCAGTCACATACGCCAAAAAAACGAATCTCCTTGAACTTGCTGGAATTCAAACGGGGGTCCTCTGATATACGCCTAGCACTCTGCCAACTGAGCAATGTGGGAAAACGGCCAGAGAATGAGCTGACCGAAATGTTGCGTAGATGCTAACACACCGTACGAGCACGATCGCCTCAACGATGAACCCATCTGTAACACAAACACTTTGTCCCAATCCTCCCGTAAACCTAGCTGTAACTATAGATCTAATTATGATATATGAAGGTCTTGTGTGGCAAGCAGTGGCGGCGCACAGCAGGGAGCGTGGGGGGGGGGGGGGGCGAGGAGACAGTCACACCCCTTGCTAGCAACATGAGGCAAGGGTATGTTTTCCACTTCAGAACTTTTTGGGAGGCCCTTTTTCCCAAACTAAGGGCACTGTAGCTACTCCTAGGCTACCAAAATGCACATCAGGTAGACACTCATAACTGAGATAGAACGTAATAACTCGGGTTTAGACGATCAATTTTTACATAAAGTGACCTGTTTTCTGAATCACAATGACACCTTTAAGAAAAGGACAGCTCATACTCTAAATAAGATTACCCAATGCTATGTCAAGAAGGTTCAATTTTCGGTCTGGAAGCCCCGGTTACGAACTAGGATTTCCCTGTCCTGGGCTAGTAAGCAGCCTTAAAATTTAGGATGCTCCCTTTCTGGAACAGAAGGTCCCTTCCATGCATCAAATGGTCGCGGTTCCCGATCAGGATGCCCCGTTTTGAAATAACGGGACCCCTTGACTACACTCGGAGGCGCTTTCGTAAATCTGAAACATCCTTTTCTGGGTTAGGAAGACCCTTCATGCATCAGAATGCCCTTCTCTGATACATGATACCCTGCTTTAGGATCGCGAGACCCCTCTTTAATGGATGATCAAGCCACGATGTCTGTTGGCTTGCAAAGGACAGCTATCACAAATTATGAGGTCATACCCTCTGTGCCCCTACCCTTTGAGTACAAGACTACCCAGGAGCCCCCGCCCCTCCGCCACACCTAAGAGGCCCCACACCGCACCTAAAAGGAAACCCCCTGTAAAATCCTGTCCTCCCCCGACTCAAAATCCGTGGCGCCGCCCCTGGTGGCAAGACCGTGCAGGATTAAGGTCGCATGTCAGGTCCTCAAAGGACAGAAGACGAGCGGGATTCCCAGTACCGGTATGGGATAAATAGGTACCTGTATCATGAGTGCCAAGGTCACATGAGGAAAAAAACGGTAACCATCGCACGTGACTTGACGGCGATCGTGCATTAAATCCATAATGCATACAGTTCACCTGCCCTGCCCTTATATACCCAAAGAGTAACTGCTCGGAAGCTTCGCTACTTCAACATTTACCGGATGCTCGTGAATGTTTTGATACATGGTACTTACAGTTCCGGTGCGAGGCCACGCTGAGGGGAGCCGCATATTTCGACTGCTGGCCGAGCACCCCTACAGCGCTACGCGAAAGCTTTGTGAGTACGCCAGCCATTCTTCCTGCACGTGCCTCTCAGACCTAGCCCTGCGCTGACCCACGGGAGCCACAGTCTCCAAACCCCGCTTACACCCGTACCGGCTCCGACACGGGAGAGAGGGAGGAGCGCTCCAATCGACGCGGCCACAGCATTCTGGCTTCTGATTGGCTTATTCTTCTACCGAAAACGGATGCACTGGAATATTCGATCTTTGCAGGGTTATGTAGAAATCGTGGTACCCAAAGATTATTTTAGTTCACAGTCAGGCTTATGATATATTTTTGATATAGTAAAAATCTTAAAAACGATTATACATTCCAACTTCATGCTATTCTTACCTAAACTGCATACAGGAGAGTCTTCCATGATCGGCAAAACAGTAGTTCACTCCACTGGGTAACTACACAAATCAAAAAAGACCTAACATTTGTAACCAATGATTAGCTTTGTTATATTTTGGCCAGCCCCTCACCCGAAATCGGAATACAAAGAACAACAATATTTTCTCACATTCGTCCGAGAACTTGGAGGGGAGGAGGCGGTCGCTGGTACAGGGTTGTCCATACGTAAGTGGCTGAGCGAAATTGCTTGTGATCATATGATTTGTTGCCGGCAACCTATCTCCTGCGCTATATGGTGCTCCTCCCCGTAGGAAGAGTATACATGCAACCAGGTGAAATTCAGGCACATTGTCAATGCTGAGTGACCGGCTGATGCCGCATGATTTTCAAGTAAGAAGACAGATTGGAAGCTAGGTAGCTGTTTGCCCTTATAGATAAGATGATGAACAATTTGGAATAGGAGCCGCCAGTCATTCTCCAGTTTTGGGGTAGGTTAGATAGTGATGCCACTGTGACGTCGCGCTAAAGTAAGGGCAGATGCAGAATGGAGCCTTTGGTCGTGGTGGCGGCATTGGGTTATTGAGGTGATATCGGTTTGAGTGTGGGGGGGGGGGAATTTAAAGGGGTGTCCTGATTTTTCAAAATAGTTTGATTTTTCACCAGTGTGTAAAAAAGACTTCACATGGCGCAAGCTGCTTAGACTTCCTTCAAAGTTCAGAAATGTGGTGTTTTGCAAAACTTAAGCCATCTTGAAAGGTGGTGGGAGTAAAACCCAGTTATCCCCATGTTCATTTTGACTGCTGTGTCAATATGAATGAGTCAATCCACAAACTGTAGATTTTGGCAAGTTCTTGCTGGTAAGGCTGTGACAGAAATAAAATGTCTGGTAGCTCCTGAAATGTGTGGGCAAACATTCCTTAACTTGAACAAACCACCACACAAATAGAGATGATCAGAAGTCAGTCAATCTGTATCAGTGAAAAACAATGTTTTGGTGATAGGTAAAGTTGGTAGGAGGTGCATCAAAAAGGTTAGTTTGCTGGGACACAGCTTATTTAAGGCAGGCTTCAAGCTTCTCTAAGCATCTTTTTTAATACTCCTGCCATGGTTTGTGGAGTAGTTAGTATCTCACACAGCAGCATTACTGAAAAATTATCCTTCTCGTTTTCCATCCTCCTGCAGGTGTATGCCCCTTGATCTGAATATTAATATATCATAAATTCTTAAATGCTATATGTTAAGCAATATTTGATGTGCCATTTTATAGTCATAGATATCTTAAATTGTAAGCATGATACTTGAAAACAATATTGAATAGTAGAAGGAAGCTTTAATATTGCCTTATTGTTGCAGAACAATGTGCTTGCAGGGGGTTAGTGATAACTGATCATGCCTAATAGCTTTTGTATGTTAAATTTGAGGGCTCCATGTTTAAATGCTATTAGTGCTCAAGCTAAGGCCATTTTACTATTGTGGCATATAAGAGTTTATCTACTTTGAATGGTAAAACTGCAAACAAATGTTGAATTATATTTGTTATAATATGTTGTTAAATCATTATTTACTTACATTATTTGTGTTTTTGAAAATCAAGTTTGATGACCTGGGAAAGTAAAGCACTGCTGTAGCAAATATGATGCATCATGTGTGAATTGGATTCTGCTGCAATCTCCATAGTGATAGGTGATTCCAATCAACAGAAAGGTGATGTATGTGGGATGTTCATGCTGTCCATTCCATGCATTGTCATATGTTGAGCCTAAACCCACGTTGGGAACACTTAGTTCCCTTTTCCTTGGATAGGTGTCGCTACCTGTCGACTCCCGGTTTCCTCTGGACTAGGGCCAACGTGATTGTCGGCTGGGACCTAAGTGACGTCAGTCTGTTCATACCGGACACAGCGAGAGGCTTCGCATGACCGCGTCTTACAACCAACGGACCGTCGCTCCTGACGGCTATTTCTGTCACCGGACCGTCACGAAGCATTTAGACCAGCCTCAACCCGGTACACAAATACCCGGCGTGACTGGCGCCCGGCCGACCGGCCTGTCATACGGGCTGTGACCGGTCCGGCCTGTCGCCCGCCGGAGCGCCCATGGCCGAGCGATGCTAGGCCATGGGCGGCGGACGGTTATGTGGAGATGCGTGAGACATGACGCTCTAGTTACGGCGTTTTCGGAGCGCTGGGTAGACAAACGGTGCAGATGAAAGGTGCTGTTGCGCGCTCAATGTCTCGTTTTGATGTCGGCAGTGGCTATTTTTATCTTTATTGGGAGAAGGAAGCCGAATTTCCTTCCTTTAGCCCCCCCCCCCTTGGTTACGCTTACGGCCTCCGTGTGGTGGGCGCTGCGCGAGGCTTCACGGGCTCATGGCCTTAGAGAGCCACGGACGCGGTCTTCGGTCGGCTATTTATCCGAAGATGCTGCGGGCTGGATTGGCCGCCAGCGACTCCTGTCTGTGCGAGCCAGACTGGCCGCGAGTGTGCTCGTCAGCTTTCCGTTTTGCCGTCGTTGGTGAAACGGTATGCAAAGGTTTTGAATGTCAGGCATCGGACTCAATTTGACCCCCCCCCCCCCCCCCCCAGAGACGGCTCACAGCACAGGTGCTCGTAAGCTTAATAGCTCAGATTTCATGAGTTTGTCTTTTAACGAGGAGGAAGTATCTGCAGAGCAACTGCCTATCAAACGGGTTGGAAATTCAGACGCAGGCACATAAGTGTGGCGTATTTTTAGTCCTGACACTGCCGGACCATGGTGCTAATTCTAACCGAAGGCACTGGCCGCTACGCATCTGTCAAGCGTGCACCTGCCCTGGAAGCCGTCTTGTGCCCCGCTCCGCCGTCTAACGCCACCACTCAGCAGCTGGACGCTGCCGATCGGCACCCTTATTATGCGCCGGCGCCGCGGGTGACGCAACGCGGCGCGTCTGCGGCGCCCCGCCCCCCGCGCTCAGGTGGGGGGTGAGACGGCGGACCGGGCCGACCGGAGTGAACCCGGTGATGCAATCGAGGGCGGGTTTGATCGGCCCTGTCACGTGACGTCCGCTTGGGACGGACTCGCCGGTCACGTGACCCGTGAGGCAGTGCAAGCGACGGGGGCGGTGCTCGCGCCGTTATGTCTCGCGCCGTTGGACGCAATTCGAATGGATTCGCTGGCATCAGGAGTGATGCGGGGTAGAACATCTGCACACTGGTCTGTGTGCTGTGAAGATCCTTGATACTGCTCGACATCACATTGTGTGTAGTAATGCCGGAATGGTGAACCAGACTCGTTCAATACTCCAGTGGCCAAGCCATGATAACAAACACCATGTCCTCTGCGAATAAAAAGTGTCCTCCAGTCTGTGACAGACCTAACGGACTCCGACTGTCTGATCGGTGGCCGGATCAGCGATTTGATCGGTAACGCCACCCTTCTGGTGGTGTTATTGTGTCATGAAGCGACATCCGGACCAGTCCGACTGACAGACTGTCACGCGTCACTCCTTCAGAGATTCTTACTCGTACCCATAGTGACCCATGTTGGCCCCTACCCACCCTTTTCTGTTGACCTGTTGAGGCTACTTGCGCCTTCTGATCCCATGTTGACCTCTTCTGTGTTGACTCATGGTGATCCGCGCTGACCGTCGCTGTCCCCTGCTGACTCCCGTTGACACCTGATTATTCCTGATGATCCCTGGTAACCCCTGCTGACCGCTGTTGACCCTGCCGACCCCTGCTAACCTGCGTTGTCTCCTGCTGACCGGCGCTCCGCTGCAGCCGCGCGGCCGGCCGCCATGTCGACAGTGCTGCGGCTGTCGGTGTCCACGCTGGGCCTGGGCCGGCGGCGGCCGGGCGCCGCCCAGCTGGTCTGCGCTGTGCGTGGGCTCCGCTCTCACGGGCCGCTCCGCTGCAAGGCGCCAGAGCCGGCGCCGCAGGGCGTGCCCTACGGTCGTCTCAGCATCGGCGTGCCCAAGGAGATCTGGAAGAATGAGCGGAGGTGAGCTGGCGCAACCCGGGGAGGTTGGGCAGAACGGATGGCAGTGCTCGGTGGTGATGGGATGTGGCTGTTTGGAAGAGGGGCCGGCTGAGTCATATACTTGCTCACACGGGCCTCAGGAGTACATTTGAATGGAACAAAATCCGTTTTGCCAGGGCCGCTTGTCTGTTATGACGCTCGCTGTCCCCTAAGTTGGCATGGACGACTAATTAGCGTGCTGTCTTGATCGCGCCACCATAGTCCGCCGATTTTCGCAGGGTGGCGATGTCCCCGGCCGCTACGGCCGTGCTCACCAAGAAGGGCTTTACTGTGCACGTTGAGGAGAACGCCGGAAACGAGGCGTCCTTCACCAACGACGCGTTCGCCGAGGCGGGCGCCAAGATCGTCGACAAGGCAACTGCTTATAACTCGGGTAATCCGCCGGCCGGAAATCTACTATGACGTGTGGAATATGATGCATGCGGCCGATGCGTGCATCAAAGAAACAAGGCATAAAACACACTTTGGGAAGTGCCTTTGATGACTTGTCATAATCATGAAATCTAGGGATCTCGTTATGAGTCTTGCACAAATTTGCGCGCCAATGCTTGTAAACATTTTCTGAGAGCTTTTGGGTAGTGCTGCCAACTACCGAAACGCTTTGGAATTGCTCTTGAAGGGTGTCAAAATTCACGTTCGTAAAATGCTGGTGAGTGGTGGATCCCGCGGCCACTGGATCGACCTGCGGTCTGTTGACATCATTGTCATACATCATTAGGCCATCTTTCAATGTGTTCAGCGTGATACCGAAGGTTTTTGTCTCACTTTTTGCATCCGCCACTCGGGAAGGTGACGCCGACAGCAGCATCGGGACTCTAACCCCAAACCTACCCATTCCTGTGCTGATTCAGCGCCCGTTTTCTGCAGACATTTTGTTCAAGATCCGGCAGCCGATTATTGAGGAGGTGCCGAGCTTCCGCGACGGCGGCACTCTGTACTCCTTTATCTACCCGGCGCAGAACAAGGAGGTGCTGGACAAGCTGGCCGACAAGAAGATGACAGTATTCGGTCAGTCCCGGTGATGCTGTCGACGGGTGTGGACGCTTTTAACGAAGCGAACACACTCCGCCGTATTTGGGTTTTGTCCATCGGGTGCGATGAAAAACTGGTGGCTCCCTTTTCAGGTTTCACAAACATTTGTCACTCTGTACGTTATATTTGATTTCTGTCATATGGAGCTCGCAGTACCTGTTTCGCAGGCGCAACCATCAGACCTCTCGGTTATGCTACATCACTAGCGGTTTCGACCCGTCCTGCCAAGACCACTTAGCATTTCTTTATGGCGTGATATTTCACATTAGAGAGACCCCGTCTCGACGGCTGTGAGCTGTCATGTTCCAGTCATGTCCCGGTGTTGGCTGACCCAGTCCCCTCCCCCCGGCAGCCATGGACTGCGTGCCCCGGATCAGCCGGGCGCAGGTATTCGACGCGCTGAGCTCGATGGCCAACATCGCCGGCTACCGGGCGGTTGTGGAGGCGGCGCAGCACTTCCCGCGCTTCTTCACCGGCCAGATCACCGCCGCCGGCAAGGTCAGGCCAAGGGCACCGCGCCGGGCGGGTCACGCACGAGGCTTACCGCAGCTGAGCTGGTCGCATGCCGCTCTGTGGGGGCTGTGCAGCGAGAGAACACGACAGGACACCGCGAACGTCGACAGGATCAAAACCAACAACGGCGTTACTTGTCAACAGGCAGATGAGCGGCGTGATAGTAGTTCCAGACACGCTGACCAGATACACCCAGGCTCAAATTGATATTATGAGGGGCCACCGCCGAAGAGGGGTTACTAATCTGGTGGCTAGCACTGAATTACGGCTGGCCATATATCGCCTTTTAACATTAGCGTTATGGCATCTGGGTTGAGCTATTATTTACGAGCGTTTGACCTATCTCTCCCATCAGCTTCCCTTTATAGCATGACAATGCCGCGTATTCAACGAAAATCATGTCACTTTTGTGCTCGTTTTAAGTCGATATAATTCCTGGCCTTGATCGGCCGCTACTTCTCCGACGCGCGCATCTCTTCCCGCGCAGTCTCCGGCCGCGCAGTCTCCCATCTCACAGCACATTATCCGCCACGTCGTCGGCGGCTTTTCTCGATATCTATATCACGTGTAAATAAAAACGGTCACGAAACTTGATACTAACATCACGCCCCCACGTGATCCGTGTGGCGGTCGGCACCTTGCCGCCAGCGGGCGTCGCTCTTGACCCGGTGTGGTGCGCCGGCGCCAGGTGCCCCCGGCCAAGGTGCTAGTGATCGGCGGTGGCGTGGCCGGCCTCTCCGCCGTCGGCACGGCCAAGAACCTGGGCGCCATCGTGCGCGCCTTTGACACGCGCGCCGCCGTCAAGGAGCAAGTGGAGAGCTTCGGCGCAGAGTTCCTCACCGTCGACGTCGAGGTAGGTCACTGGGCGCACGTCGGAGGTGCAGGAGATTCGGCCCGGAGCGCTGAGGAAGCGTGCGCGTGCCCGCGCTCTGGGGAAGTGAGGTCGGGTGGTGGCGGACGGCTACAGGGAGTGGCCAACGTTATGGTAGCGTCCAGAAATGTGATCGTAATTTCTTGTGCTGCTGTAAACTCCTAAGCATCAAGTATTTTATGTATTCAGGGAAGCGCTGCAGGTGTGCTGCTCTGTCCAAAGTGTGTTTGGCAGTGCATTTCAGCCAATGGTACTTCAGAGACGTTTTGTTGTTGAGTTCACCCATTTGCTTCACCACATTCATCCATTGGCGAGGTACATCCTTAGTAATGTTTATCGTTTCGTTACGATCGTTTTGGACATTGTATCAGCTCCAATGTACACGACGTGTTTTCTTTTTGTTTACGTGTGAAACGAAATCATTGCTGATGTTTCAGGAATCTGGCGAAGGCGGCGGAGGCTACGCAAAGGAGATGTCGCAGGAGTTCATCGACGCTGAGATGGCGCTGTTCGCCAAACAATGCAAGGAGATCGACATTCTCATCTCTACCGCCCTCATCCCTGGCAAGAAGGCCCCAGTCCTCATCAAGAAGGTTGGTCCGAGGGCAGATGTAACCACGGGTGCCGATAACAGTTCCCGCCGCCAGCGATCCGTAACATAATCAAGCATACTATCTTTGTTCAGTATGTTATTCTCTCACAGAGGGTTCCATTCACCGATGGCTTTAAGATGCGGCTACTGATGTGGGCGCCCAAGTACACATTTTGACATTTGCATATTGTGAGTGCTTCCTGGTGCAGCTTTCATCAGGAGTGCGATCTTCCCATCAGGGCCCTTATATGTAAGGAACACATCCTTGACATATGTGATCTTAAAGAATGTTACATACAGAATGTCATACAAGCAGATCACAAAACAATATCCACTGCGCCATGGCTCTTCTGCGTATCTCCCTTAAAGCCCGCTCTCCTGACGGAGAGAGGATAGCGTGCCCGGCGGCGGCGTGTCGGTGCTGCGCTTTCACCGTGTCTCGCGCCCCGCAGGAGCACATCGAGTCGATGAAACCCGGCTCGGTGGTGGTGGACCTGGCGGCAGAGGCCGGCGGCAACATCGAGACCACGCGGCCCGGCCAGATCTACACTCACCACGACGTGGTGCACGTCGGCCTCACCGATTTCCCCTCACGGCTGCCGGCGCAGAGCTCCACGCTCTACGCCAACAACATCTCCAAGCTGCTGCTCTCCATGGGTCAGTGGCCGCGCCAGCGGTGGGCGCGCGCGCCCGCCCGCGCCGCGTGCGATCGCGGTGTGGCAGCCGGCGCAGACGGCTGTAAACAAACGGACCGCGCCTGGTGCCCCCGGTGGTGTGGTCCGGCGGCGGCGCGCCCCGGGCCTGGCTGCCATCGGGTCGTCTGGACAGCGTCAGGCGCCGACGCGGCCCGGCTGTGATCAGCTCGCGGAGGTCCGTGACTCTCACGTTCTGATATCACGGACAGCGCCCTGTCGTTCCCGTACCAAGGCTATATATGACGTTCGGATGACGTTCTCATCCGCTTCGGAATCTCCGCGAGATCACCGTAGCTTGTTCAGTAGTCTTCCTAGTGTCATAAGCTGTTTGTTGACCTCCCAAATTATATCCACGTAGCCTGTCCCCAACTCCCATACAATCAAACTTAAGTCCCGCCGGTCCTTCGACTGTGACGTCACCACATCATGGCGGCCTCCATGGCCAGGATGCTTGCAAACCCTCTCGTAGGACGATTTGCACCGTCGCTTCATCTTCTCTGCGGCTGAACTTCAACGATCGTATGATCAAGCCCATGCGCCTGACGGACGCAAACAGCGTTCGTGACCGTCCTGCAAATATTTCGCTTCTTATAACTGGAGAGCTGAGAGCCGGTTTTTCCACGAGTTTTCGACCCTCAGTTTTCTAACTAGGCGCTATATTTTTTAACGCCCTGACGCCAAAGTACCGCGCCGCTGTCACGTCATCGTTACGCTTACGCATCGCTCACGCCGACGCTTAGCGATTTGAAACATGACCTTGGCTGCCATAGGACATCTGGGCCTCCTTTCATCCGCATGCAATTTTTCGCGTTGTCTTTTTTACCACGCAGCCATCCCGCGGAAGAGCCCCAGAACAGTTATGCAGAGCTGGTGGTCGTCCGTGTTATCAGGGTCGGATCTCGGACGGTATGCTGACGCCCACGGGTGGGGGCGCCGCCACCGGCTCTGCGGCGCTGGAGACTTCAACCCTGGCCGCCTCTGCTGGGAGGTCATGGCTCCATCTACAGCTGTGCTGCACCCACACCTTCAACGGAGACCATGCCGCAGCGCGTGCCGTATATTCGCCCGGTCTCTCACAACTCACCGGTCGTCTCCGCAGGCGAGAAGGACCACTACCATCTGGATTTCAACGACGAGGTGGTGCGCGGCTCGATCGTGCTGAACAAGGGCGAGCTGATGTGGCCGCCACCGCCGCCGCCCGAGCCGTCGCCAACTGCCGCCGCCGCTGTCGGCCCGGCCAAGCCCGTGGCCGTAGAGCCGGCCGCGCCGCCCAACTACTTCATGATCACCATGAAGGACGCGCTCATGTACACGGGAGGTGAGAGAGAGGGCAGATGGCAGCTCGTAATCATGTGATACCCCGTTTGCCATCTCCGTGACGGTGTCGAAGTCTACGCCGACCGTCTCCGTCTGTGGGCGAACGGTACCGTTATCGGATGGCTCGGCCGGGTGCCGATTTTGGCAGCATCGGTTATATGGGCGCTGCTATGACTGCATTGTTGGTTAACACGTGTGGACCACTGAACACCAGATCGGGGCGACCGACCGGCGGACCAGGGCAACCGAAAGACGCGTTACCGAAACGGGACGCCCCTCCCCCTCCGGTCATATTAACCCGCCCGGCGTCCAAGGCTGGGCGGCTGCTGGCATTAGGCGTGCCCGCCCCCCTCCAGTGATGCTGACCCCGCCCAGCTTCCAGGTCTGGGCGGCTGCTGGCATTAGGCGTGCCCGCCCCCCTCCAGTGATGCTGACCCCGCCCTGCGTCCAGGTCTGGGCAGTCTGCTGGCATTAGGCGTACCCGCTCCCCCTCCAATGATGCTGACCCCGCCCGGCGTCTAGGTCTGGGCGGTCTGCTGGCGCTGGGCGTGCCCGCCCCCCTCCAATGATGCTGACCTCGCCCGGCGTCCAGGTCTGGGCGGTCTGCTGGCGCTTGGCGTGGCCTCTCCGGGCCCGGCCTTCACCACTATGGCCACGACGTTCTCGCTGGCCGGCATCGTGGGTTACCACACGGTGTGGTCGGTGACGCCGGCGCTACACTCCCCGCTCATGTCCGTCACCAACGCAATCTCCGGCATCACGGCCGTCGGCGGCATGCTGCTGATGAACGGACAGTACTACCCGACCAACTCCATCGAGGTGCGCCGGCGTGCGGCAGAGCGCGGCGCGGTCCCGGGAGAGACAGCCACGCTGCGGTCGTGGTATTGACGGGGGGGGGGGGGGGGAGTTATTATACGAAATGGCTCCCGTACCGATGCTTCGTTTTTACATGGTCTGCTTCGTACATAAGCCAGCCAGTGGTTCAGGTACAAAGTATGGTGGTTTGTCTCAGTTACGTTAAGTTAGCTTCGTACAAGATGCGAAGTCGACCATCTGCGTGCTTTTTAAATATCTTTTGAGTGCTGGAGTGAAGTTTAACGCCCATGCATTCAAAATACACACGGGAACTCTGGCTTGGACGGGCTAATCTCAGCGGACGGCAATAAGGATGATCTCATTGTCGGCCCACCGTAGTTACCATTTTATTCGGACGGTTCTCTAAATGCTCTGTAATTAGGAGACTTTCGTGCTGCGTTGTGCCTTTTTTAGCAGTTGCCCATCTGCATTATTTCAAATTGATTGCGGTGAATGTTACGGTCTGCCTGTTTTCACTGCATGAACATCTGTTTTAATGCATGTACTTTATTGCAGGCGTTGGGTGCAACTGCGGCCTTTATATCATTTATCAACATCTTCGGAGGATTCGTAGTTACACAGCGTATGCTTGACATGTTCAAACGGTAAGACATTGACTCAGAGCTCTGCAGTGGTGCGTCAGATCCGGGGACCCTTGTTGATTTGCTTTTGGGTTCCGGGGAACAGTAATCTATGTATGACGTGTCAACTTTAGGAGTGGCAAACTTCCGGCCACCAAAGCATGTGGCCCGTATTCCAAACACCAGGAAGTCACCATGGCCGCTTCCTCCCACTTAAACTGCCCCGTCGAGTGTCATTGCAAGTCGAGTCGACGACGTCCCCCCCCCCCCTCCCTACATCTCCTAAAGCCGCTCGTGTCCTACGGCAGACCGACCGACCCGCCCGAGTACAACTACCTGTACGTACTGCCGGCGGCCGGCTTCCTGGGCGGCTACGGCGCCGCCGTCAGCCAGGGCTACCCAGAGATCCACCAGATGGCCTACCTGGCCGCCTCGCTCTGCTGTGTAGGCGCGCTCGGCGGCCTCAGCAACCAGTCGACGGCGCGCATTGGCAACACGCTCGGAATGGTGCGTCGGAGGGCGGCGCAGCCGTCGCTGTCAGGGAGGCGGCGCGTGAGGGCTGAGTCGCGCAAGGTCCCAGTGCGGTCCCGTGGGGCGCGTGCGTGCAGCGTGCAGTTGAGAGCCCAGGTCTGAGGTCATGGGCGGGTTTGTTGTGGGTGAGGCCGGTGCCGATGTCGAAGGCGCCAGTCATTCGTCGTACGCGGACCGCGTGGTGGCGGTGTTCGTAGTATATCAGCCCTGGTCTGTGGCCCTGTCGCCCAGTTCTCAGAGTTATTGCCCTCTTGATATGCTGTGTGTCTTGGACTGTAACGCTTCTGGGCAGAAACGCACTGCTATGCGTCGACCATTCCGGTCGCTTCTTAGCTGTCTCGCATCCCTCTGCACACGTCTCATCTATCTCAGCCATGTTCGTCCTTCGTCAGCCTCCGCCCCCGCCCTCCTCCCATTGCGTCCCTCTCACACTGCGCGCCCGCCCCCCCCCCCCCCTCCCCCTTGTGCCCCTTTCACGGCGCGCCTCCGCCCCCCCCCCCCCCCGTCGCCTCTTGCGTCCGTCTCGCTCTGCGCCTCCATCCCTGGCCTCCGTCCTCCTGCGTCCCCCTGACGCTGCACCTTCGCCCCCGCCTCACTGCACCCCTCTCACAGCACGCCTCGGCTTCAGATCGGCGTGTCGGGCGGTATCGCGGCCACGCTGGGCATTCTGCAGCCGTCGCTGCCAGTGCTGGCTCAGATGGCGGCGTGCGGCGCCGGCGGCGGTGCCCTCGGACTCACCATCGCCAAGCGGATCGAGATCACCGACTTGCCGCAGCTGGTGGCCGCCTTCCACAGGTGTGGCGCCGCCACCGCGCCTCGCTCGGCGAGGGGAGGGAAGGGCAGCTGCCGGTCATGGGTGGGCTGGGGAGTGGTGGGCGATGTCGGAACGCGTGAGGACACAGGTAGAGTGCGTCTTGGAAGGCGAGCTAGTGGCACGCATTGGGCCTCTGGTTGTCATCATGCCAGTTCTGTAATATCATGTGGCTGCCGCACTGTGTTGGCAGTGCGCGCCATTGGTGCACTAGAGCCCAGGTGCCGGACTTTTCACCCCGCCTGACGGCCCAATCGCGTGTCCCCGAGCCTTCGCCCCCAAGGCGACGGGGTTCGGCTGTGGGGAACCTGAGTCGGGGCAAATCGATTCTGGCTGCAGCATTAACTTGCTCCCTACCACCCCTGCTTCATTCCTTGGTTCTGAACCGTATGTAGTAGGTCGAACGGGTCCCAACCGAGTCCGTCGCGATCACGGTTCCATCGGCCTCGCTGAACTGTAACCGTCATCGGCCACTGAACAGCTGCGAGGACGGACGCCGGCTGTCAGGGACACTGCTGACAACGTCGCAGGACAACGCTAGCAACGTGGAGTCGTGTCTGGGAGGAGCGCGATTGCGGCTTGTTGTCCGCACGTAACCGGCGTCTTTGCCAGCAGTTGTTCTGGCGTCTTTGCCAGCAATATGGGGCTTTGCTTGCCAGGACCGGACAACGCCAGAGAGTTTATCACTCGTGATACGCTATGATCTTATTGTGATCCGCCATGCCTTATGCGGCATATGCCGTTTTGCATGTGGCTTACAATAAAGCCCATTGTCGAAGTACATAGTCAGTGATATCCAACGAGTGTGATCTTACCTGACAGGCATGGCGGCTGGGCCGACCTGAGCTGTGACGTGACCTGTGCCGTTATGACGCCCTGTGACCCGATGTGTGACCTGATCACCAGTCTGGTGGGCATGGCGGCCGTGCTGACGTGCGTCGCCACCTACCTGCACGACTTCCCCAACTTCGCCACCGACCCGGCCGCCAACGTCGTCAAGACGGCCCTCTTCCTCGGCACGTACATCGGTGGCGTCACCTTCACGTGAGTCAGCGTCCCGACCGTGCTCGGGCTCGGGTCGAGACTGGAGCCGGCCCGCGGGAGGCGGGCGGCCGGCAGGGCGGCTGCCGTTCAGGACTTGAATCAGCCCGTTCTGGACTTGCTGACGTGGCTACGGCAGGCTACCTGCAGGGATGACCGAACCCTTGCCCCGTATTTGATCAGACGTGCTGCATCTTGCATAACGAAGGAAGGCCTTCAACTTTAGTTTTTCAGCGTTATGGGGTCAGAGTTCGTATGTTGAATTAGCAATCTTCAGTATACCAGGAGGCACCGGTTAAACGACGTTGTAGTGCTAACTGACGTTGGCATGGGCGGTGCTGAATATTTCGAGCTTTACCCATCCTCAAGAGCCTCTTGAGACGACCTCAAGAAGCTCACAAGAGGATACACAACACACACACACACATACACGCACACTTACACGCTCGCAAACAAAAGATAAAAGATGCTCCTCAAGAGTCTCTTGAGGATGAGCAAAGCACGAAATATCGAGTGTCGTCAACGTAATTGTTATTCAGCCGTACACTATGATTTTTCCCGTACCTCCTGGTATATTGAAGGTCATTAACTCAACATAAGATCCGTGAACTAACAGCACTGCATTTTCCTGTGTTTCACGCGCAGCTGTCTACCGGAGCCTCGGAGTTTCTCTGTCATCTGCCGGAGCCCCGGAGTTTCTTTGTCATCGGCTTTGCTCACGCGGCGTATGCGCATCTGGTAACGCTGTTCAACAAGCGCCCAGGCCGGAGCGCCCTGTCCGCCCCGGTCCTGCCCGCATTCTGCCGCCCGCGTTCGTTCCTCTATCGCCCCATGACCCGGCGCAGTCCCTGTGCGGCCCGTGTCCCACCCGTGCCTTGCGTCCCCACGTGCCCAGCGCCCGTGCCGTGCCGTGCTGTGCCGCCCGCGTGCCGTCCTGAGACGGCGTCGTCTGCTCGCAGAGGCTCGCTGGTGGCCTATGGCAAGCTGCAGGGCCTGCTAAACTCGGCGCCTCTGCTGCTGCCCGGCCGGCACGCTCTCAACGCCGGGCTGCTCGCGGCCAACGTCGGCGCCATGGGCCTGTTCTTCTACGAGCCGTCGCTGGGCACGGGTCTGGCTTGCCTAGGCAGCACGGCGGCGCTCAGCGGCGTCATGGGCGTCACGCTGACGGCTGCTATCGGAGGTGCGCAGGAGAGGGGGACGGGCTGCCCGGTGATGCAGAGGCACCTGTGATGGGGCCGGGCAAGGAAGCCGCTATGAACTCATGGCTCGTACTCTTAGGGAGGAGGAACCGCTGGGCCATGATGCTATTTTCTCACGGTGATTGATGCGGAGCCACGTTTAACACTTGGCGAGGAGATCAGCAGGGTATTCCAACAGCTTAGCAGGCCGTGTCCAGGGAGTAGTATTGAAAGTGCCGAGCGTTCCGATCGGAAAGACGTATGCGGCTCGTATCTTTATGCATCCTGCTGCTGAAACGGAAATTGGACTGCCGCAATTCGGGTGGACCAGACGCGGCCGGTCCGACCAGGTATCGTCAGCCGGCCAGCGCAGTGCTGCCACCTGACGTGCGGCTGTCGGTCCTCGCTGAGGCCTGGGAACGGGCGGGTGAATCACGCCGCTGCCAGGTCATGTTGTCTCACCCGGCACGCGAGCCGATCCACGTCCCGAAGGCGCCGACACGAAGGCGTCGCGTGCGGTGGTTGTCTGGCGTGGCGTGCGGCGGAGGGGGAGGGGCGGCGGCGCCCCCGGCCATGCCGCTGACCGGCACCTCCGCCCACCGCAGGAGCCGACATGCCCGTGGTCATCACCGTGCTCAACTCGTATTCGGGCTGGGCGCTCTGCGCGGAGGGCTTCATGCTGAACAACAACCTGATGACGGTGGTGGGCGCGCTGATCGGCAGCTCTGGCGCCATCCTCTCCTACATCATGTGTAAAGTGAGTGAGGCACTGCTCGGCGGCAGCGGCTTGGGCGGCTGGCGGGAAGGGAGCCCGTGTCGTTTGCAGATGATGCAGCTTTGATGGGAAAGTTGAGTGTTTCGGACGGCTTTGTGTGGCGGGGCTGTCGATGGCCGAAGAACGCGGTTCACGGCAGTTAGTTGATGTTGCTGGTGCTGCAGAAAGCCGGGAATCTTAACGACCGTTTGGCTGTTTCCGTTGTTGGCCACGCCAGGACGGGTTTCCTCGGGTTTCCGCAGTGCCGCTCGTCCAATGCGGCACCGAATCTCAGTAATTTTATCCTCATGTCAAACCCTATCTTGGGGTGCTTTGTCAGGGAACTTGCGGCTGAGCAGATTAACCTTTGGTGTCCATCGATCCTGCTCTTGACTCGGCCGCGTTCCTCGAAGCCAAACATTAAGCAGTGGGCGTCCCTGTAACCACGTAGGCCCAACCTCCCATCCCGCCGTCCGCGCACGGCTTGACGTGCCGTGGCCGGCGCTTGTCACGCCGAGTGGTGACCTAGCGTGACCTGCGACCGGTCGTGACCGGCGGTGACGGACAACTGCCGCGTCACGACCGTCCGGCCTGACCTGACGTGACCCATCACGCCGCAGGCGATGAACCGCTCCCTGCCGAATGTGATCCTGGGCGGCTTCGGCACCTCGTCGACAGGCACCGGCAAGCCGATGGAGATCACGGGCACGCACACGGAGGTGTCCGTTGAGCAGACTGTCGACTTGATCGCCAACGCCCGCAACATCATCATTACTCCAGGTGGGAGGGCAGGAGACGGACCTCGGAGGGGGTGGCGGCGCGAGTCTCAAGTCCGGCTCACACCGCGACCGGTCCGCTAAGCCGAACTGCCGGACTGCCGCTGCCATTGCCCATGGTTTTTTTTAAAGCATGTTAAGTAGAAACGTCGGCCGATCTGTAAGGCGGCGGTGTAAACCGGGGGACAATGGCGGCCGGCGGTTAGTTGAGCGATGTCCGACTTTGGCCGGCGGTTAGTTGGACGTTGCCCGACTTTTGGCCGCCCAGGCCAGGACACCAGGGGCCTGGCGCCATTTTCGTGGACGATGTGTTCAGTGGCGCAGTCGCACAACAAATACGTGCTTCTCTGTACAGCAATAGGTGGGCTGTGTGAAGGGAGCTTTCCGATACGTCAAGGTGAAGCGTTCGAATGCTTTGCTTGTTACATTCTAAACAGTATTAAAGATCACGACGAAATGGCATAAATGGAAATACGGTGCAAAAGGTGTAGCAAAGCCCACACCATCTTACGTTCAAATGGGCACGATTTCAGCATTTCGCGTTTCCTGGACGCTTGTTCGCACATTTGATCAATGCCAATCGTTCATTGCTACCCAGCCGTGCCGGTTTCGTTTGCCATTCGGAACTCTCCAGTTTTCATTGGAACGTCGCGTGCTGTCCTCCAAATGTTACCCACGTAAGCATTATTTCGTCTGTAAACATATAGGCGCAATTTGGTGGTGCAAAAGTTTGGTTCCGTTCACTTGGTCCATAGAATCAGTCATGGAAAGAGCGTTGCGAACTCGCCGTTCGTACGATGGCTCTCTAGCACCTTCCGCACCGAAACAATACTTTTGGGGTCCGTCGCTATCGAGCGCCATCAAAAGGAATGGGTCATGATCCAGGCCATCCATGCTGCTCATAAATTGGCGAACAAACTAGCGATCGCTCGTCCGTTTTTCGCCGTCCCATTCCAGCGCTCACGCAATCGCCGAATCCACCGCGGTCCAGTCAGGCGTCAACAGATTCTCTGAAGAAAGCCCGGGCCACCGCATCCGATGAATTTATACAGTTCTAGTGGAATGTTGTCTGGTCCGCCGGGCCGCAGCGTGGACCGGGCTTAGCGAGGGCCGCAGCGTGGACCGGGCTTAGCGAGCGCCGCAGCGTGGACCGGGCTTAGCGAGGCCCGCAGTGTGGACCGGGCTTAGCGAGGGCCGCAGCGTGAACCGGGCTTAGCGAGGCCCGCAGCGTGGACCGGGCTTAGCGAAAGACTGGGCGTGACGTGAGCTCTGGCTGTCAGCGCGTTCTAACGCAGCAAGGTATGCAGGGAATGAGAGGTGTTTTACATGTGACGTGAGTTTCCTTGCTGTGTTGGCGAGATTGATGATGCATGGTGCTGAGGCTGGGATGAAATGTATAGTGCTGGTTTGGACGTATTCCTGTCTTTTTTTACTCTCCCAGTTGCTGGTGACGTAACGTATTGTGCCCGGCGACACCATTCATTGAACTTATGCCCGCGGTGCTGAAACCCGGCGTTATCTTTGTCCCATTCAGTGACACCGTCGTAATGGCAATGCTGACTCGATGTGCGATGTAAGCTGCTTATCCAAACGTTTTTGATGCTTTGGTCTCAACCCAATGTGCAACAGCCCGTGTTCTGGCACAGCACGGCCCATGCAGCGAAGCGCAAATCAAATTGTTACGTTCGTGTGATGTGACATTGGTTACAAGTTATTTCTGAAAATAAGTTCCTATGCGAAATGCCCAGCTTGTCGCGAATCCAGTCCGAATCCCGGTCCGGTTGTGTGTTTTCGATCACCTGTCTGATGTACGACACCACGTGACAGTCGCGAATCCAGTCCGAATCCCGGTCCCGTTGTGTGTTTTCGATCACCTGTCTGATGTACGACACCACGTGACAGTCTCGAATTGCCTTCCCAGGCCCGTCACACTAATGACCAAACTACTCTCGACAACACCCAGCATCCCGGAAACTTGTTTAACTTCAGACGCCACTCGTCCTAACTTCATCGCCTATCTCTACGGGCTGCCAGTGTGCTCGCCAAGCACGCTGCTGTGCTGGCCGCAGAAATTCAACAATTTGTAAATCCTGGCATCCTTAATTCCAGCTCCTTTCTGTCTTACTTTTTGGCAATTTTGTCGGTAATCGTTGGATACTCTAGTTTCAAGCCTGCTGCTTGCCATGGCGATAATTGATCAGTTTGACCCATAGACCACGGCCGCACGTTGGCTGGGAGCTCAAGAAAGATACCCGCGTGCCGCTTGACTTGTTTATCGGAAGAGTTAACCATGGTTTTTAGATAAACCGAAACTATGTCCTGGCGCCTGATTGCGCACAGCCTTTCTTCATTTATCGTCTGCATCGTTTTTTGGACCTCCCGTTAAATCTGCGACGCAGTTTGGCCTCTGATTTTCTCCTGCCTTTTTCTATTGAAAGGCAATCGTGTCCATCGGGATTGTAATCCGCGCAGCTAAGTCGTGATCAACTGCCATCCGAACGTCTGCTCTTCGGAATGGGAGGCGACTGTTGTGTTCGCTGGGGGGAGGACCCGTGACGGACCTGGCGTCTTCGCTGAGGGAAGGACCCGTGACTGACCTGGCGTCTTCGCTGAGGGGAGGATCCGTGACTGACCTGACCCGCGCCATCCGTCTCCGCAGGTTACGGTCTTTGCGTGGCTAAGGCCCAGTACCCGATTGCCGAGATGGTGTCACTCCTGCAGAAGAAGGGCAAGAACGTGCGGTTCGGCATTCACCCGGTCGCAGGTGCGTTCGCCGGCGGCTGGCGGCTGGCGGCGCCGAGCGCCATGGATTGTCGATATCTCCCGTCCCACGGGAAATTCGCTCCCAGTGGCCAATCATCTGTTCGTTCTTATCGCGGCCTTCCTCGCTCCTCTCCTCTTTCGCTCTCGCTCTCATTCCAGCTCTTTCTCTGTCCAGGTACCCTGTGAGTCTTTTACCGCATATTTGCTCAGACGTTCTCTTCTGTATCTGTCTCCATCTAAGCGTCAAGGAGATAGTCTTAAAACGCGCATTGGTGTCAAATTTGTAAGTTGTATCAAGGGCTGGCATGACTGAGAAATCAAGGATCTGGTCATGCGCAGTGTCTATATAGTTCAAGTGGTGTGGAAGTGGACGCTAACAACAGCATAGCGACACACATTAATTTGTCAAAATTTGCGGCTTATTCTGCTGTGCTATGTGGCACTTTTGAACTAGAAGTTTTTTATGCTGCAACAGCTTTAACAAGTTCTCACCATATTTCTGTTCCAATGGAAGGTAAGTACAAACAGTCAGAGTTCGTCGTGGTAGTTTCATTATTGCAGCATTTTAGTCCGGTGGTGGTGGTGTAGGGTTTAAGGACCCGTCGGCGTCGTGGTTATTTTGCACTCCGCAGCATTACGTAACGTTCTGTCGAAATGTAAAGCGCAAAAGTGGTATTATTTCCGGCGTTCGTGGGCCAATGCGACTTGAAAAACAGGTGGATCAGGGTCTTCTGCGTGGTCTCGGCAAGCAAATAGATAGGGGAAATTTTGTACTGGGTGCAATCTAGGGAGACAATGCATCACTTTCAGTTACATATATATATATATATATATATATATATATATATATATATATATATATATGTGTGTGTGTGTGTGTATGTATGTATATATATATATATATATATATATATATATATATATATATGTGTGTGTGTGTGTGTGTGTGTGTGTGTGTGTGTGTGTGTGTGTGTGTGTGTGTGTGTGTGTGTGTGTGTGTGGTGTGTGCGTGCGTGCGTGCGTGCGTGCGTGCGTGCGTGCGTGCGTGCGTGCGTGCGTGCGTGCGTGCGTGCGTGCGTGCGTGCGTGCGTGCGTGCGTGCGTGTGTGTGTGTGTGTGTGTGTGTGGGCGCACGCGCGCACGTACTTGCGTGCGTGTGTGCGTGCGTGCGTGCATTGCGTATGTGTGTGTGTGTGTGCGCGTTTGCGTGCGTGTGTCTCAGTTAAGCGCTGGTACATGACATAGCAATCGTATTGGCATAGTGCCGTAGCGGAGTAGGTATTACGTTGTGGCGTAGGTCGTGAGTGTTCAGATAAACGAAAAGGGTATTTTAGTTGAAAAGCTTTCCGCACTGGGAACTGAGCAACATGTTTTGAATGCATGCGTGCTGAGTTTTCGGACTGCTCTTCTCTCCTCCACGCGATCTAAAACTCTCCAACGAACCGGGTCTTTTACGCCCCAGGAGAGCCATCTCTCGGGGAAATGCAGATGACACCTGTTCTGCTGTCGGCTAACAGGCCGGGTGCGCGAGTCAGTGGATCCTTTGTGGCGAGCGTCTGGTCATGGCACGGCAAGAGCGATGGAACAGAGGATGGCGGCACTGGTGGAGAGAGCGGCGCGCAAGACTGGAGCGGTGCGACCGGCCAGCGAATACAGCCAGTCACTGAGCGCTGCAGGCACCTGGTCCAGGGCAGTGCGCCGGCGTACGAGTGGACTCTGGTGTCATTTGGTCCAGGCCGTTGCGCCTATCTCACTGCCATGCGACGTTGTGCCGCACTGCAAGTGACTCGCGACCATTTTCACAGATTGAAACTGTGGATTGCTGTGGGTCAAAGTGGCCTCGGTATTAATCATACGCTCTGCGCTGAAATTCAGCCGACGCCGCCTCTCCGTATGATAAATGGGCCTCATTCTTTTTGCGGAGACTGCCCCACTTTCTCGCCATCGCAGCTGCGCCGAAGACGGCACGGAGCCGATTTACGAGCCGGGAGAGATTTTGCGCGCGTAATCCTCGGCGCCTGATGATTGCGTGTTTGTCCCGCGCCCGCGCTTGTGGCGCTGTCTGGCGCGCGTATTCCGAGAGAATTGAAACCGACTTGGAATGCCGGCACCGCGGCGACGGATGGTCGCATTTGCCGCTGCTGGATGGGCGAGTTGGGCGGGCCGATTGCTGCGTCGAGGCGTGGCGGCGCGGCTCGCGAGCGTCACCGGCTCCTGGACGACTTCCACGACGGCTTGGACGACGAACCACGCTCCACGACTTCCTGGACACGACAGGCCTGGGGGAGATGGTCGAGGGGCGGCAGCCGGCGCGGGCGCCTGTGGAGAGGGACCGGGCTGACAGCACTGGGAGGGCTGGCAGACTGGGGCCTGTTGGGACGGAAGGAAGGCCTGCGGGTACCGAAGAACTAGCGTAAGAAAGAGTGACGTGCCTGGTGTGAATGAAAGGGACTGCAGAGTCTTGTTGCATAGTTGTCAAATTCTGGATCGTGTGCTGAAAATAACCCACCTTCAGTATACCAGATGGCATTGGTTGAAAGAGGAAATTGCGCGGTCATTGAAGTATGTTAAGGCACAACTGTGCGTTTCCAGCTGTACACATGGCCACGAGTGCCCCTCAGGTTTTAACGATGTGAATCTGTGGTGCTGCGAAACTTAATCGGTGGCTGCGCTGGGAAGGGGGGGGGGGGGGGAATGGACGAACGCTGAGTTAACCAGGATATTGCGATTGATGGTGTCATAACTCTCCCCAGTGGGCACCGTTAACCGCCGCCCGCCGCTGGCTTCCGGGCCCTTGTGACACGAGTGACTCGGTAACCCTTCTCCTGCGTGGGCGTGCGGCGCCGCGACCACGCGTGTGGCGACGGCGCGGCAGGACGTCAGCGAGCCTCCGCCACCGAGCCTCCGCCACCGAGCCTCCGCCACCGTCGGCGCTGTTACTGTCCGCCGCGAATGAGGCCACCGTGCCCTTCGCTGTGACGTGCGCGCAGTTGCGTGCTGCACTGAGCAGCACGCGCTACCCTATGCTGGCGCTCTGCCTGGTCCCATTGCGAGCTGCGTTGCGGGCGGCGAATGGGGTGCGGCCCGTGGCTTCCCCCGTCCGTATTCACCTCCCGTGGCAGCCGCCGGGCGGCCGACCCCGCGGAACACTTCTGTCCGCCGCGCGCCCATTGTGGCGCGGCTGACCGCCGGGTCGCCTCTCCGCGTGCCGCAGGCCGGATGCCGGGTCAGCTGAACGTGCTGCTGGCCGAGGCCGGGGTGCCCTACGACCAGGTGCTGGAGATGGACGAGATCAACGACGACTTCCCCGAGACGGACCTGACGCTCGTCATCGGCGCCAACGACACCGTCAACTCGGCCGCTGAGGACGACCCCAACTCCATCATCGCCGGCATGCCGGTGCTACGCGTCTGGAAGTCGGACCAGGTCAGACGCCCGGCGCGGTGGGGTGGCGAGCGCGCGCTGTGCAGGCCATGGCGGCCGCCGCCAGCGCGAGGGCGGGTCGGTGGCACGAGAAGTGTGGTGCCGCTCGTACGTTATAAGCCCAGGCGAGCGTTTTGGCGCCGTGGAGGATCAGTGGGTGGAGTGCAATATATTTTTAAGAGGCCAGCGGTTTGTTCTAAGCTGGTTTTCCGGTTCTGCGGCGACCATGCCCTGAGAGCTGAAGCCAGCGCTTTAATTTTCACCTCGTAGCGGAAGACCGCTAAAAGCTCGCTTATCTAAGTGCGTCCGGCCAGTGCGATGTGGGCCCCGGGCGTGCCTGTCTACAGGCGGGCGCCCATCACCCGAGCACGACCGGCACGGCGTCCGGTTGTGTTTGTGTCGGTGGCGATAACGTGGTCCTCCCAGCGCGCCCTGGCCCGTTGTGCGCCTCCCTTCCCCCGAGACTACTCGCCGTCACTAACGGTCGGGCGGGCCGCTCGTGCTATCGCCCGCGCGTCTCTCCTGAAGTACCACTGAGTTGCGCTGGGCGACATCAAACGCGTCCGGCGCCGCGGTCCCCGGATGCGTCGTGTTCAGTTGTGGCTCACTTGTTATCGTGGTGGGTCGTTGGTTTGAGGCGCGCCGCTTGCCTATGTTCCGTCGTTTGGCGTGTGCTCTAGTTTCAGTCTCAGACAGTTTCAGTTGTGCGTTCGCGAAGCCGGAATACGCAAAAAATGACGATAGAAATAGCGGACAGCCATTATATGTCAAAATCAAATCGGCACGCAGCCGTTGCTTGCGCGTTTTGGGCTGGCAAAATCCGCCTTAAACTGCGACGCATGCCAAGTGTGCGTTGCTTCGTAATGTAACCTGCGTTTGCCTACGCTGATCCTTGTACGTGATAGTTATAGCCGACGCACCCGAAGCACCCGCTGCTAAGCTTGGGGTTTGTCGGCGCGTAGCATGCACTCGGCCGGCCTGCACGGCGCGGCAGGTGTGCTGTCGGGCCGTCGGGAGACGTGCGTCCCGGCGAGCTCGGTGGACGCCACGGGGGGCGGCGGGTGCGCCGGGCCGCTCTTCCGCCGGGGTTATGGGTACGCGCTCGTTCGGGGGCGCCGCGCACGCCGCCGGCACGCCATCATTCTCGCCTGTGGGCTTCATCGTCGGCGGAATGTGAGACGGGGCGCGGCCGGTCGCTGATGCCGTGCGGCCCGGCGTGGGACGCCGCGCCCGCGGCGGCCGGTCGCGGTCCGGGTCCGACCCAGCCCGAACAGAGGAGCGGCGCCGCGCGGCGTGCTGCGCTCAGTATTGGGGCCGTCGGACTGCGTACTGAGGCACCGATACCTAGCTGATGCATGCGTGCTTGCGGCGGGTGGGGGCAGACAGGGTTGGATCGTTGCTCTAGCACACGAGCGTTCAGGTCCGTGTGTTCGCGCAGTGCAAGGTAGTGTCGCTCGGCGTCGCAACCGACGCGAGCGGCGTATGCTCGTGTGGATCCGTGCTGTGCTGTCATTGACAGGGACTGGTCTGGCCGATCTCTGGTGATATTGAGCACCGACTAACCCTGCATGGGCCGCAGACTGACGTGTGATGACGTTCTACTGGCGTTGCTGAATCCGCTTACCTGACCTGATCGTTGCTGCTGATCCCGAATGCTGACCGCACAGGGCGTTGGCGGACCTCGAGCGATCTGTGGTGACCTCAGCTGACCTCGGTTGACCCGTACTCCAGGTTGTGGTCATGAAGCGGTCGCTGGGCGTAGGTTACGCGGCGGTGGACAACCCAATCTTCTACAACCCCAACACCTCGATGCTGCTAGGAGATGCCAAGAAGACCTGCGACTCGCTGGTCAGCAAGCTTAAGGATCACTACGAGTCTTAGGTGAGGCTCACGGCGCGGCTGGCTGCCCGAGTCGGGGGGGGGGGGGGGGCGCGGGAGGGGGAGGGGGTTGTGGACTAGTTGGCACCAACGGTCCGGTGCCGCGCCCTTCTGGAGCGGTCGTTGGCCAGCTGTGAACGGCATCTTAATTAACGGACTAGGGATTGTCGGTTCACAGTGGAATTTGACCGTGGTTCCGCGCAGATAGTGCGGTGGACATAAGCGTAGATACATTTGTCGTCTTTCATCTTGGCGTGGCACTTTGTGAAGATCTCCATCGATAAGGTGCTCTTTCATTAGCGTTCTGGTAGTCTTCGTATTGATCTTCCGGGTGGAGATTGGGACTCATTTCTTTTCAGTGAAGTTCCAATCTAGTGAGTGCTTTGCTAAGTGTGTTTCTCGTGCCTCCCACTCTTTTCGCGCGTTCCGCGCCACGATGACTCTCCAGTGAACTTCGCGTAAGCCGAACTTTGGTCTTTTCTTCCAGGCCCTGTTCCGTGGATGAATGACGTCCGCGTTTTACAAATGCCAAGCCATGGTCATCCCGGAATTCGTTGCAGCATGCCGTTAGTTTTCCTGTAGGACTGAAAAGAACACTGCGCGCTCACCATCGTATGCATAGCTGGCGCATCAGCTAGTGCGATGTTGTGTTTGCATACGCTGTCGGCCATTTTGTTGTCTGTGGTGTCTGGAGGATGAGGCAGGTGTTTTCGGTGGGGCTAACCTTGTTGCATTGTAAATAAAGGCTGACAGGATGTGCAGGCGGAGTATGCTATCCGAACGCCCGAGAATTTACTCAAGCTTCGTTTTTGTTAATGGCAACGCGCTTCCTGGTAAGTACCCTGGCGATTGACAGCCCGTACCAAGGTTTCCGCGGCGGCCCCGAGATGGCGCGCGAGTGGCGTGGCTGTGCCATGGATCGCATCGATCGGCACGACCCAGTGCATGCGGCGGGCGGCGGGCGGCCCGCCCGGCGCCGATGGCCCGGCTTTTTGTGTGGCCGAGCGGGATGAAAGAGCCGCTTCTACGTCTAGGGCTGCCCGGTTGACTGGCGGTCGGGCCTGGGGAGTGCGTGCGGCGAATGTCGTCCTGGGCGGGCCGGAGCCGTTTCGTGCCTGGCGGTGGGGAACCGGTGACGGCCGGCGGTGCGTTAGGGCAGTTGGCTTTCGTTTGTGGGCGCCGGTCTTTTGCGGGGTGACTGAGTCTTTTCGATGGTCAGGTCAAGCCATCAGTCGCAAATCAGCAGACCGGACCAAATGAACGTTGTTATGGCCGATCGGCCTCAAATATCGTCTCGTCGTTTCTCGCCGCCATTTCAGTCGGTACTGTTGTACCTGACTGAGGCCGTGGCCAATCCGACCCCTTTCAGCAGCTGATCTAGCTACTTAAAATCACTCCCTAGATGTAAATTAGGTGCGCTGTAAGATTTTATTACGTTCAAAGTGCGAGATAAATTTTCGAGACCCTCGCCATCAACGACTGTTGAAATTTCGCTAGCTTCTCCAAACGGGTTTATTTTAGTGTCGGCTCCTTGTTACCATGGTCGTTCTGGATCCACATTTGCAGGCATGAAGGCATCTGGCCCCATTGACAGGACTCTTAAACACTATCTTAAAACGTGCAGTCGCAATCCTCGGAGCCTGCTCCAGCGGTGTTTGTGGCGTCCTGGCGCCATCCGGGCCCGTCTCGTCCTGCACCTCTCCCGATTCTGGCACGATGCGGACAGCGACGGGAGCATCCATCGCAACCGCGGCCGTGCAACGGGGGGGGGGGGGGGGAGGGGGGAGGGCGATGCCGTCGGAGCACCGCTTGGGAGAACGGGTGCCACACAGCGGGCGGGGTGTCGCTTGGGGAACAGGTGCTGTTCCGACCCGCAGATTGCGTCGGTCACGCCGGCTCTGGCGCGCCATCGCCGTGAACCGCCGCGCGCACATTTCGCGGATTTCTGTCGAATTGAGCTCGCGCTGCTCACGTCGTTTGTGACGGACGCCATTTGCCCGCATTAGGTGACTGCTCTCCCTTCATCCTCATTCGAAGCATGCCAATCGCTGACGACTGAACTGTCCCCAATCTTACCCACTGCGATGTGAACACTTCAATCGAGGCTGGCTGATTGGTCCGTCAGATCTTGCAGACACCTTGTCTGACGTCCGACCTCGTTACCACACTTCCCGACACTAGATTGTCCTTTGGAACCACACCCCCGGCACTATATCGCCCGGTAGATCAGCACAGATCGCCTGGCATCCCCGCCTGTCATATCTTTAAAATCTTATGTCCGCCACAAAAACACTGTTCGCGTATCGCCCCTTCCCCGGAGGTGGGGCATGGTGACTCGCGTCGGGCATGGTGACTGGGCATGGTGACTCGCTGCTCAGTTCAAAACGCTCGTGAAAATAAAACAAAAGTCGAGACACGTTGTAGCGTCCTGACCCAGCTCGGCTGCGCCGGAGGTGGAGTCTTGGCGTTTCAGAGAGGTCATTAGCGTCATTTCAGATATAATCGTACTGACGTCAGCACTTGCTTCGCTGGACAGAACACCTCGCCCACCGGTCACTCGCCTGAGCTTTCGCTTTTCCATCGCTCTCGCGGTCCGTCCATTGCACCGTTCGTCAGTAATCCCCGCGACGGCGGCTGACCCTGAGGAACTCCGGTCACATCGGGCCGCCCAGCCCCCTCTCCCCGACCCGTTGGAATATGGATGAATGGTGTCATTAAACGACTCAAAAGACCGCGATAAGCGTAGTGGCAGTGGGATCCATGCATTTAGAGTGGCGCTCAGTCCGTTAGAGTGGCTGCGGCCGACGTTGAGTACCCGTAGCTCACACCGTCTGTCGATCATCACGGTCGGTCGGGCGGCGTCAGACTGCCGGCACCCGATGCTTCTTTCGGGATCGGCTGGCTGAGGCAATGCTGGCCGGCATCTCCGGCTTCACGTGACCTGGGACATCCACATCGAACTTGAGAGGACTAGAGGAATCCATGGCGCGCGTCATTGCCTTGTTGCGAGTGTGGATGTGGATGGGTGCAGGGCAGCCATCAGCGGAGACGCACCGCTGGCTCCGGGTCACGGCGCGCGCTCTGAATCAGTGAGCGGCAGGCCAGCGAGTGGAACACGTGGAGAAAAGTTTATGCGTTACGGCTGTCGCGGCGAGCGCCGTTCGGTGGCGAAGTGTTACAATTGAGCTAGCTTCAATGAAAGCTGGGGTACCACACCTGCCCTGCCGTATTTTCTACCCACGCGTCACCCCCCCCCCCCCCCCCCGTCCACGCTGTCGTCCACTATGGAGGAGACGGGCGACGGAGCGATGTGACGCCTCGCCCTGCGCATTCTATCTAGCGGCGCCGGCGAGAGGTGGGCGTACTGGGCCTGCGATTTGGTTGGCTGCTCCCACCGACCCATGGCCATCTCGGTGCGAGCAACAGCACCCAATGGCCGAACTTCATGCTCAGGGGACCGGATGGCTTTGCCAATTCTTCGAGCAGGACAGGATAGCGGAAGACGTACATGAACAGCGAAACTTTGTTTTATGATAACATAAAGCGCCCTTCGATGTCCCCGAACACTTAATGTGATGCGATAACTTACGGCGTGGAGTACCCCACCTCGAAAAATGCCAAGTATAGAAAATTCCGGGTTGCACTAATTTTCCTGAAGTTCTGCTTTGATGTCCCTAAAGTTAAACCAGTTGTACGAAAATTCGGTGGAAAACGAACGATGCTAATGCGTGGAACAAATTGGCGCAATATTTTCGTTTCGCAGCGTGCGTGACAAGAGCGGATGAATCCGAATGAACCACAGTAGCAAGCTGCCACGCCGTTTTGAACTCTTTCCATTGAAGTCATCCACCCATTGCCCTGAAATAACCTCAGCGCGATTTTCCATGTACGACCAGCATCCCTGCGCTCGTCACACGTGATTCCGGTCATCCCAGTGTCAGACTTGAGCTCCTCGGTCTTAACTCCCATCGAACTCTCGAGTCCTCGGCCGTCCCTCATCAGTGCCAATCGGCCGCCTGCCACAGTCCTCGGCCCGTCCTCACTTCGGCCGGGTCCGGCCCGGAGAACTATCACTAACGACGCCGGCTGGAGCGGCGGGTCGGTCGCCGCGCCAATCAAGCACGAAGGGCGCCATTAGCGCCGCGCGGTGGTGGTGGCGGCGGTGCGGGTGCGGCGGACCCGGCGCGGCGGGCGCGTCACGTCCGGAGCAGCGCGGCGGCGCCGTGGAATACAGATGCGGCTGGGAAGGGCGCGTGCCGGGCTGGGATGCGATGACGAGTCGTCCCGGGGCGCGCCGGCCCGCGAGCCGCAGGAGGAAACGACGCTGCATCTCGTCACGCTATATGTTGTATCGCCTGACCTTCCTGCTTAGGAGGAATCGTGATGTTCAATTTACGAAGGACGGCGCCCATATCCGTACAGAGATCTAACGGCCCAGTTTTGTTTTCTTCATTTCTTCCTTGCGTGAAAGAATCCTGACAAAGCCCACCACGTCGTTATGTGGCTCAGCGGTACAACAGAGGGTGCGATGTCGTGATTAGGCTTCATCGCAGGCACCTAGGCCCGGATCTGGATGTAGATCCCGCTTCCGCGTCGCGTCCGGTCTCGGTCCGCCCGGGTGCCGTAAGTGCCGGCCGTCAGTTTCATTTTGAGGCGACCAGAGTAACACGAAGGCGCCGCCCGGAGCGCGTGGCGCCCTCCCCATACCCATAAGGAAACGTGCTAGACGCTAAATGGATTGAGCGAGGGCAGATAGTGGTGGAGTGGGCGCCCCACGCCCACGTGGCGTGCAAAGCTCACGCGCGTGATGACTGTCAAACGCTTCGTTTCGCTGCACTGAGGGCGTTCAAGGGCAAAAGGCATTTCGAGGCATTGAGAAGCGTTCAAAAGCGTTTTAGAGCCATAAGTCCATGGATGGTATTGCTTTTGAAATGAGACCAGGGTAACAAAGACTACAGGTATAGAAGATAGAAGACAGAAGGAGCAAGGGATGTCTTGCGGAGTAAAGAACAGCCGGCCCCGTCAACTGGGCGCACCGTCTCGCGGCATTTCTGGGCCCGCGTCTCCGACGTCATCCGCAGCCCAGCGCTCGGAACGCGACGTTGGCAGTAGCGCTGTGTCAGCTCGTCTTCTGTAGACTCATGTGACGTCATTGGAATTCCGGCGGGATACCGGCCGCGCCGCGCTGTCGGCTAGCTCATTTCGGTGTCAGATTTAATCACAGCACGCGGAATGGTCGACGCGGCGGCGGCGTCAAGAACGGCGCTACTGAGGTGTGCGCCGCGCCACGCACGGTTCTCGCCTGTTCGCCTCGCGTGTCTCACTATTTTCTAAGAACGCTCGACCTCGGGCGGATTGCGAGTGGATGGCTGTGTTGCCACGCGCCGGCCAGTGTCGGACAGCTCTGAGTGGGCGTTTTTACGGTGGCTGCTCCGGCCCTGCGGCCTCGCCTGAGCAGGCCTGGTGCAGGCCTCGCCTGAGCAGGCGAGTCAGATGGAGGACCGACGGGCAGGCGTGACACGGGGCAGGTGCGCCGCGCGAGATCGGTGCTGTTCGGTGGTGGTGGTCCGTTGACTTTGAGTAAGAACATCCGTCTGCCCTCGCAGGAGGTGGGGCGGATGTCATTCTCCCAGTTGGCGGTGTCAGACGGCGGGCCACGCTGCGACTGTCAGCGATAACGTGGGGAACTTTGTTGAGCTGAATAGGCAAAGTTAGCGGCCATCTCGATGGGGCGCTGAAGTGCGTTCTCTGACTAGTGTGC